AAGCCGCTCTGAACGACTCTGTCGGTAAAAGGCAAAGCCATCAAGGTTAGATTGTACTGGTGAGACAGACCCCTGGTTCAAGCATTAGAACCCCGAATGAATATCCAACCATCAGCAATACACAAATTAGCTGGTATTAAATGTATATAATGTAGGCAGCTTGTGGTATCAGCCAGCACAGAGGAGGCTCCTAAACAATCCTGCTTAGGGCTGCCGAAAGGCCAGAGCCAGCCCTGCTTAGAGACGTAGCTGCCTGTGGAAATAAAGCTGACCACAATTTTTAGTGCTGGACAGAAATATCCTGAAAACTAAAACCTGCTGACATCAGCAAGTCTTGTTTAAGTGGGTGCTATTACTCACGCATGAGCTACTGAACTTTTAGAAAGTTACAGTTATTGTACATTTGGCTTAGAGCCTATTGCGTCTGGGCTACAAGTGGCAAATTAATCTAAAAGTGAAACCAAGCTCAGAAATGCACACACATTTTGGGTAGATCTCATTTGTGTGGGCCTCATAAAAATGTCTACAGTGGACTACAGTCATCTCTATAATGAATCAGCAATACATGCTCTTCAGGAGGATAATTGCTGACCTCAGGTCACCTCATTTTTTCTTTTCCCACTCAAACACTTCAGGGTAGCCCAAACCTTGTTAGCTCATCCAAGGAGAGGAAATGCAACGTTTTGTTGATTAGGGGCCACTGAGGCTCCTCTTCAGGACAGATGGTGAATTAATCAGCTTATTATTCATGTTAGACTCTCTGTTTAGAGCACTAGATATGCATTTGATATTTAGAGGTTAAACTCTCTGGACATATGTATTGCTGTATGACACATTTGGCCTATGCACCCTTCACCAAAACATCTATAACAGTTGAAGTGTAGCAGCTTTAAAATGCACAACAAGGCAAGAAGTGTCCATAATTAAGCATATTAAAGGGGAATTCCACAGATTTTTCAAAATTCATCCAATTCTGTCATTTAGATGCGAAGTCTTTCAGAGAGAGTTTGATATGAATGATATGAATGAGGTATTTTGTAGAGAAACGTACCGACTCAGATTTCTTTATAGTGGTGCTGATAGGAACAAGGGGTTGCGATGTCTACAATGCAAACAGAAGGAAAAAGGCCTTCAATCAAGCAATATTATCTGGCAATATGGTGATTTCTTAAAAGAAAAAAATCTTGAAATCTACAGTCATCAAACTCGTTGCGCAACGTCTTACCAAAGCAGTTCTTTTTCAACTTTCAAAAACTGGAGCAACACAGTAAAAATCAATTCTGGTTACTTTTGCTTTTTGCTGGTATCCATGGTGATCGGCCTTTGAAAACACATCACTCGCTTAATGAATTACAAGTTCTTCCCTCTGGAAAACTAGTCCCACCTGTCAAAGAACAGATAATACAGGTTTACAGCTTCATTTACAAACACCTTTGACTGAAAAGTTCAATGTTATGTTTTGCAACAATGTTTACTGAATTCAGGAACTGCCCAGTGACTTCTATTATAAATGTTATTATAAATGTCGGGTTCTGATCTTTTCTAAATATGGATAATGTGTCAATATTGTCTATGGTGATCGACTGTATGCTACACTCTTAAATGATGTTTCTTCAAGGGTTCCTTAGTGAAGAAAATGGTTCTATATAGAGCCATGAACACTCAAAGAACCCTTTGCATGATTAAAATGGTTCTTCATATTGATGTGGAATGTGCTGTAGATGGTTCTATATACAACCTTTTTGAAAAGAGTTCTATATAGCTCCCAAAAAGGGTTCTTCCACTGTTACGGTGTCAAGCTTGTTACAAGAACCCTTTTCAAAAAGGTTCCTTAACACTTTAGCATCCAGACTCTTTTAATACAGAGCAATGCTGTTGTAATGCATGCAGAATGTGGTTTTACATTGTCTTGCTGAAATAATCAAGGCCTTCCCTGAAAAAGACGTTGTCTGGATGGCAGCGTATGTTGCCATAACATGTATATATCATTCAGCATTAATGGTGCCTTCACAGATGTGCACGTCACACATGCCATGCGCACTAATGCCCCCTAATCCATCATGAGTACTGGCTTTTGAGCTGTGCACTGGTAACAAGCTGAGCTGTGCACTGGTAACAAGCTGATTAGCCCAGAGGACACAGTGTCCTTGAGTTCCAAAAAGAATTTCAAATGTTGATTTGTCAGACCACAGAACACTTTTCCACTTCCCCTCGGTTCATTTTAAATGAGCTTGGGCCCAGAGAAGGTGGCAGCATTTCTGGATCCTGTTTATGTACAGTTTCTTCTTGCCGTTTTTGAATTTTAACTTGCATTTGTGGTTTTTGGCCTTGTCCCTTGCATAAAGAAATTTTTCCAGATTCTCTGAATCTTTTAATGATATTATGTCCTGTTGATGATGGAAAAGCAGAAGTTCTTTGCTGTTTTATGTTGAGAAACGTTATTCTTGAATTGTTGCACTATTTGATCATGCAGTCTTTCACAGAATGGTGAACCCCTCCTCACCTTTACTTCTGAAAGACTCCGCCTCTCTGGGACGATTTTTTTATACCCAATCATGTTATTGACCTGTTGCCAATCAACCACCAGGTGTTTTTTTTTTAGCATTACACAACTTTACCAGCCTTTTGTTGCCCCTGTCCCAACTTTTTTGGAACGTGTTGTTGGCATCAAATTCAAAATGGGCATATGTTTTCCAAAAAACAATAACATTTCTCGGTTTCAACATTTAATTTGTTGTCTTTGTACTATTATCAATGAAATATAGGGTTTAAATTATTCGCACATCGTTACATTTTGTTTTTATTTACATTTTTCACAGCGTCCCAACATTTTTGGAGATGGGGTTGTATATAGAACCCTTTTCTTTACTGAAGGACCATCTTTTATAAGTGTGTACAGATGCAGCAAATGCAGATTAAATTGTAAAATGTTGGTGTTTTCCTTTAAGGTCCTTTGTGGAGACGCGGCAGCATTACATGATAAAATGCTATTTAAAGAATTTGGGTGTCTGCTGAGTGAGCTGTGATTGTGCTACAGAGTAAAGAGATTCACAACAAACCAGCAGGTTCCATTCATTTTGTCCCCAAAAATAAAATCCTGCAGATTTCTGTACTCTGTCACTGTTAAACAAGGCTCGACTCTCAGCTGTATGAGGTGATGATAAATGCTCCCTATTAAAAGGCTGTTTACTGAGGATTTACCTGCAGCTTCTACCTGTAAGTGCAGTGCAGGTGCACACAGGCATGCTAGTCAACTGTAATACTGTTGTATTAAACACAGAAAATGGTGTTTCTTCATCATCATCATCACTTTCTTCTTCAATATATTTATCATCATCTCGTTCTTCATCACTTTGATTCTCTGCGCCATCATCGCCTTCACGATCACTTTGTCTTCATCCTCATCCTCATCACATTCTTCATCATTGTAGTCAGCACCACTTTTTTCTTCTTTATCACTTTCCTCTTCAATATCTTTATCATAACCTTCATCATCATCATCATCATCATCCCATTTACCACTTTGTTTACATCATCTTTGTTGTTTACACTCTTAATCGTCATGCTTTTCTTCATCGTCATAGTCATCGTCACTTTTTTCTTCATCACTTTCCTCTTTATCTTTATCATAACCTTCATCATCGTCATCCTCACCAACAACTGTTTGTCCTCACTACCACGTTTATATTCTTCATCATCATCATCGTTTTCTTCTTCATTACTTTCCTCACCATCACTTTGTTTTTCACCTCCATCAACATCGCCACGTTCTTCATTATCTTCATCATCGTAGTCATCATCAATATTCTTCTTCATCAGCATCATCACTTTCTTTTTCATTATCATAACATTCATTATCATCATCACTGTTTTTTGTCATCATCATCATCAATGTTAATCCTCATCATCGTCGTCATTATCACTATCATCTTCATCATCATCATCACGTCCTTCATTATCTTAATCGCAGTTATCATCACCACCTTTCTTGTTCATCATCACTTTGTTCTTCATCATCACGTTCTTCTTCGTTATCTTAACCAGAGTCATCATCACCACTTTACTCTTCATCATCATTATTTTTTAGTTCATCTCTACCTCCATCGTCTTGTCGTCATCACCATCATCACTTTCTTTTTCATTATCATAACCTTCATTATCATCATCACTGTTAATCCTCATCATCGTAGTCATTATCACTATCATCTTCATCATCATCACGTCCTTCATTATCTTAATTGCAGTTATCATCACCACCTTTCTTGTTCATTATCATCACTTTGTCTTTCACCTCCATCAACATCGCCACGTTCTTCATTATCTTCATCATCGTAGTCATCATCAAATTTCTTCTTCATCAGCATCATCACTTTCTTTTTCATTATCATAACCTTCATTATCATCATCACTTTTTTGTCATCATCATCATCAATGTTAATCCTCATCATCGTAGTCATTATACTATCATCTTCATCATCTTCATCATCATCATCACGTCCTTCATTATCTTAGTCGCAGTTATCATCACCACCTTTCTTGTTCATTATCATCACTTTGTTCTTCATCATCACGTTCTTCTTCGTTATCTTAACCAGAGTCATCATCACCACTTTACTCTTCATCATCATCATTATTTTTTAGTTCATCTCTACCTCCATCGTCTTGTCGTCATCACCATCATCTCCTCCTTCCTCAGTTCACTGACGCCTTATCTTTACATTTGGCGCCTTAACTGCTCAAAATTCGTGCGAATGGGATGTAGCTCCTCCCCCGACCGGTACATCTTGCGTTTGAAGAGGGGTGACAGACGCTTCTGTTTTTATTATTTTTCCCAAAACACAAACGCATTTATGTTCCAATTGTCTCCTCCCCATTGTGCCCTCACTTTATGCATGAATGTGGAAATAAATCTTACCAATTTCACGTAATTTTCTCAACAAACAGAAGCGTAGCAGTCAGCCTCCCCTTCTGGAGGAGTAGCAGGTCCGCCGGTTCGGCTTTGGCGCTCTGGCTGGGCTCCGTCTCTGCGAGGCTGGCTGCTGACCTGACCGAATAATGCCCACTTTTATCTCCTCTAGTCCGCTCTAAATCGCCCAAATCGTGTCCAAAACAATGTCGGAGGAAGAGCTAAAGGTTCCCGATGAGCTTTTCAAGGACGTAAAGTTCTACGTGGTCGGTGATATTGACCAAAAGGTGAAAGTTTCCTTTCGTTTCGATGCTAGTTAGCTACAGTAGCGTTAGCATAACAGAGCGAGCCAGTCGTTTTCAGTGAGCCGCACTTTTCAGACAGGACTCTCCTTCATTTATGTACACAAAGATTATCTGTGACGTTAAGGAATAAATCAGTTAACCCAGTTAAACCAGAATGATAGGCTTAATCAAGTTACCCTAAACGCAACTAGCCAGCCGCCTCCTTCATGGGCAGTGTTAGCAGGTTAGCTAGCTTAGCTAACTGGCGAATACACGATATACATGCTTATGTAAACATTACGTTTCATATACTTATATATGTATAGATTATATCATGATCAGGACGATGATCTGTGTATTGAACATTGTCACAAAGACGGCTGGCTATAGTGGTTGACCGGCTGACCAGCTGTGCTGTGAAACGTTGAACTGACCTCTCAGATTCTGCCGCCCGGCTGATGTTGTTATTGTTTTTCAGCAGTAGATCTTCTCACTCAAAGGGGAGTTCCACCAGTCTTTCAAAATTTCCGAATAATTCAGTCCTTGAGATGTAATCAAAGTCATTCAAAGAGGTGAAATTAGAGAAACTTAGCTACAGACTCTGATTTCTTTACAGTGGTGGTGATGGACACCAGGGGTCACGATGTCTGCAGTGCAAATATAGCCGTTTTATTTAACCTACTGTCCAAACCGCCAGTGAACCTACACGAGTCTTCTGAGTGTTTATATGTGATGGTGATGATGGTGAGTTTTGTTTGAGGACTATTTTTGCCATACAACAGCCTGCGTGCGCCCCTCCTCCATGAGTGGATTAAAAATACACATAAGTCAAAATCGCAAAACTATTGTTAAACGGTGTCTCAGACATCAAGCAAAGTATTCAGAAGCATTTCATATGGTAACGTTCTGTGAGGGAGCTTTTAGAGGTGGACGTCTGGTTCCTATCACCACCAGTGTGAACGATTCCAACTCGGTAAGTTTCTGTAGGACAGAGTGTTTCACATCAGACCGCTCTCAGGCTTCGAATAATGTGGAATTTGAAAAATCAGTGGAGTTCCCCTTTAAGACCACACTGAATTCTGGCTGCATGTTATTCTTCAAGGCAGTGTCTGATGAAACTACTTGTTTCACGTATGGATATTGGGCTGTCAGTCTGTCAACTAAAAGGGGACGAAAGCCTGTAGGTCGAAGTCCTTAGATTCTCTCTTATTCGCTGTCCTGACACATTCTCTTTAATGGATATTACATGTCGCTTTTCCCCTGACATTCTCCAGTTCATAAAGCTTAAACTGAGTCCAGTGTTGTCTGTGCAAGTTTAGGTGGTGCAGTTGCTAAAAGCAGGGAAGGGTAAAGAAGTGTCCTACAATGCCCTCGCCACCCACATCATTGCAGAAGATGGAGACAATCCGGAGGTTGGCGAGTCACGGGAGGTGTTTGACCTGCCTGTTGTGAAGGTAAGCATTATTGCACGTACGACGGCACAGGTGTCATTTTTGCACACTGGCATACAGAAGTGCTTGCGCAAAAACCACAGTTTGCATTTAAGTAGGCCAGACGTGTAAATTTCGCGATGCTTACTTTACAACATCTTGTCACTGTGTGTGTATTAAGGTTGCACACTATGGACAAAATACCGTATTGCTGTTATTTTGCTACCAGGGCTGTCATGATTAATATAATTGATCATGATTATTTGCATTGTTTTGTGTAGCTTTTGTCTTTTGACCGTAATGAAATTTGTTTTTTACTTTTAAAAAGCAGTGCATTTTGTTTAAGCTATATGAGTGGACAAAATCAGAGTGTATGTATTACTTCGAGTAATTTACTAACATTATGTTTGTGATACGTGTACACAGTTCACGTCAGTGTGAACATGAAAACTTTTAAACCCTTGCGTATAGCATGCAAGTGACTGTTATTTAGTCTACACTGCTATGGATGGTTTAAAGGGGTCAAACTAGGAAAATATTTAAATTGCATTAACTTATACAGGACAGCACTAATTACTGCAAGTTTAGATTGTGTTATATTTATATGTGTGTGTGTGTGTGTGTGTGTTTGTGTGTGTGTGTACATATGGTCTAATTGTTTGTAGAATTAAATGACTGTTTTGATTCATATGAAAGAAATTCTGCGAAGAAGTCAGTGGTTGGGATACTCAGTGGACACGAAAAATGTTTTGTAAGGGCTTCTTTGCACGATTGTGGTAGTGATTAACAAATTCTATAATGGTACAGCCCTAGTGTGTATATGCAGAAGGTTTTGAAATCACTGTATTAACCTTGTTATGATGTTTTGTGTTTCAGCCCAGCTGGGTGATACTGTCCGTAAGATGTGGAGACTTGCTACCGTATCCTTCTTAAATAGCTGGATTTTTCCAGGAATAGTTTTGAACGTGAATTCCAGGTTTCTCCTAAACTTAACCCTTTAAACCGTAGGGATCTTCTAGTGCTCACTCTCATAGCTACATAACCTACACAGTAGTTACCAAATAGTTAATAGTAGTTACTGAATAATGACTAGATAAGTTTAACGGATTATGTTGCTACTTTATTAGTGGAGAGATGTACAGTACTGTGCAAAAGTCAGAGAACACGCATTAGTTACTTTGCTTTTCAGTCAAAAAGGGCCATGAAGTACAGTTTATTCCTTTTCAGGAAATATTCCTGAGGAGAATAGATGAGATAATTCACTTGTATAAGAAAGAGGAAAGACAAAAGAAAATAAGTGAAAAACAGGATTTTCAAAATTGATTAAAGGATGTAGAGAAAGTGGGATTCCTAACAGCTGTGCATGACGTGGTAGACACCAAAACTGTCTAGTAAAAGCTTTCATCTCTGAGAGAGAGGAGAAAATCAAGCTGCTTCGGATCTGAAAACATCCACAGGTGTTTCTGTCCATCCTTCCACTGTGAGAAGACGACTCGGCGCTGTGGGTCTGAAAGGATGTAGACAAAATGATGAAAATTTGCAAATAAAGAAGCTGCTGGTGTTCTCAGAACAATGGACTGACCACCCTGGAGTTCAGACCTCAGCATCATTGAATGCATTTGGGATTAGATTGTGAGAAGCAGGAAATGTTGAAGTATTTGATATTATATTTAGTTGTTGAGGCTTCTGTGTAATTTTTTTTTTGCTAAATGTTTCCTGGTTTTTCCTGACATTAAAAAATGAATAAATAACCTGGAAATTAAATAAATAAGCCATTTTGCACAGGTTTATGCTCAAGTCTGAAGCAGAAAAAGCTCTGTATTTGTAAATAAAGCTTTACATATATTTATTTCATTTATACGGCTCACTTATTGACACCTTGACCATTAATAAATCAGGGTTACAGGGTTTTCACCAGAATCTGGGCAGCTGTTCTTTGGCGTCCGAGCGTGTTTACCTCACGTAAGTTTTTACTGTCTACCTCGTCAATAGACGTCTGTTTATCATGCTTTTTAAACATTTAAATGACTTGGTTTGTATTTGATTTAAAGCTGGCAGAAGACCTCAGCACCCTGTGGGCCTTTATTACGTTCTATGGAGGCGAATGTCAGCTGAATTTCAACAAGAAGTGCACACATCTGGTGGTCCCTGAACCTAAGGGGGTAAAAACATCTATTTGTCTTCTCGTGCTGGAGTTTATAACCAATGTTTTCCATTTGCATTTAGATTTGGCCTGATCAGTGGTGAGTGCTGAACGTTTTCTTGGTTCAGTTTTACGGCCAGTGAGTTCCTTTAATGGTGCCGTTGGCTTGGTTTAACAGCCGGTCGTCTGCCCTCAGTGCGTGTGCAGCCTTTGTGCTGGTAGGGGGTGTGTTTATTAGCCCTGTCTTTGGTGTTGATGCCCTTTGTGGACTTGATTGGTCGAAGGTTTTATGGTGTCCAGCGTGACATTTCCTGTGTACATTGCCTTTATGGTCGTCAAAGTCGTTCTACTCTACAGCTTTTCTTTCAGATCAGCCATGTAACGTCTTATCATGTGGTTTAATATAAAGGGAATGACTTCGTTTCAACCAGGTAGCTGGAGTCTCATCAGTGTAATATTAACAGTTAGAATCGAGTGTCCGGAACAACAGCATGCATATTGAATACTTTGTAAATGTAAGATGAGAAGTCTGCTGTTAGGAGGTACTGCTAGTAGGAAGCATAAAAACATACAGGTCAACTTATATTTAGGTTTACAAGGGGACGAGGCTGAAGTTGGCTTTCTATTCTCCAGCTGCTTGTTCGAATTTTCCTGTTCCACTTTAAATAGTGACAGCATTCTGGACTCGCTCGCCGCCGTAGTTAGAACTGTGATACAGTCATTTTCCAGTAAAATGTCGTGGAGCATCTGCGGCAAGCAAAAAAAAAATGAAACCTCAAAGTGTGCAAGCTTGTAAGGTCTTGAAGGCGCTTTTGGCTTCGCACAACCCTCAAGAATTTAGTTTTGCAAGAAGTATGCTGAGTGCTTTACAGTCCCAAGACTTATTTGACTAAACACAGGCCAACAGACTTCCTTTATTCGATGTCTCACACACGTCTAAATTCTGATTCCTGCCAGAAAATAAAAGCTTAAAATCACTAAACACATCTTCCACTTTGTGGGGTTATGTACGCTTTCAAGGCTGTGGCATTGTCTCCAAAATGCTAGAACAGTCCTGATCCGGTATGGTTTTTCCAGCTTTGCATTCCTTTTAAATTATGAAGTTTTTTTTTTTTCCCCAAATCTAACTTAATAATCTGGTTGATAATCAAGTCCCATATCTTTTGAGTGAGTGAGCCATTTTGAATATTTTCAGTACTTTACACCTCTCTTAAAAGAACTGAGTGGTGTAGACTCTGACACCTTTACACAACCGTGTGATTTAAAAGTGAAGCTAAATTCAGTTGTAAATGTTCTCAGTTCTCAAATTGCTGAGCATGCAGATACAGGCCAGTTGTCAGTTGTCGGTTTAGGCTGAATAACAATGTGGTGTTGGTGTTTTTACAAAGTAGTATTTTGCCCGTCTACATGAAAACACTGGAAGCGTTTTCCAAAATCTCCACACAGGAGAACAAAAATGCCATTTCCATGTTTTATTTTGGACAGGAGGCCAAAAAAACTACGTTGTCAGGACACCTGTATATTTGGGCACAGGGCCTAAGTCACTTGCAATTGGGTGGCTTAAAACCAACATCACATTTTCATTATGCAGGGTTAGCTGACTTGCTAATGCTGGTTGGGTTCCGGTTTTTTGTTCTAGCCAATGATTCTAGGTAGTTAGCCAAGTTTTCAGTAGCATGGTAGAAATAATAGCTAGCTATGCTAGTCTAGCTGTACTTATGGATGTTTGAACACTGTCTTTCCATGGTTGACCCACCCATGATTACGTAACGGTGACTGGCAGCATAAATCCTTAAGGCGAGTCGAGATGGAAGACATGTCAAAAGATCAGTGACGTTCTTTTAAGAAACATATCTGTAAAGTTTTTTTTTTTCTTCCCCAGGCAAAGTACGAATGTGCTTTGAGACACAGCAGCATTAAAATAGTCACCCCTGAGTGGATAATAGACTCCGTCAAAGAGAAAGAGAGAAAGGATGAGGCTCTGTATCACCCGCGACTCACCTACCATGAGGAAGAGGAGGAAGAGGAAGAGGAAGAAGGGAGTGAGTATGAAAATGAGCACAGCTCCGAGGGCAGCTCTCGCAGCAGGCGCTCTAGCCCGACCTCCTCCCGCGAGGCCACACCCTCCAGACGCCACACCCGCTCACCTTCTCCCAAACCTGGCCGCAGGCCAGAGCTCATGTTCGACGACTCTGACGACTCCAGCCCAGAGAAGGAGGAGCGTAACCTGAACTGGACTCCAGCCGAGGTGCCCCAGCCTGGCACGGCTAAGCGTCGTCTGCAGCCGGGAAAGGACACGGGCCTTATCAACCTTTGCGCCAATGTACCACCCGTACCAGGCGCAGTGGGCCCTGCAGATGCCCGGTTGGGGGGTGCAAGTGGGCCTGGCATCCCCCCAGGAGCGGAGCGCCCGGAGATGATTGGCGGATGGAACGCAGCGGCCAGACCGCTGCGAAACATAACCAACAGTAGCGAGCCGCAGCAGGTCAACCGCCCACCCAACGTCACTCATGTAAGACAGACCTTTTACTGCTATTTACACACCTTAAACACTAGGCTTATTACACTGTTATTAATCATTAGGCTTATTATTCAGTAATGATTGTCACATATTTGAATCGTTTAGTAACTAACGTAAGAAATATAGTTTTTATTTCTGATTCTTTATAAGGAACTTTAGACTTTAATGGGCTGGTACTGATACTTTGTAGTGCCTGATGATATTATCTTAATTACAGATCCTTCAGACTCTGTCTACCTCTGCTAAAGGCATGGAGCAGCAGGGCAGTCAGGGCCAGCCTGGTGTGCCCAACCAGGTGCTCTTCAACCCTGTGAAGCCTCCTCATCAACAACAGCTCACTCCTGAAGCACAGCAGCAGTTACTGCAACAACACCAGCAGCAGCAGCAGCAGCAGCAACAACAGCAACAACAAGCACATCAAATCCCTCCACAGCAACAACAGCAGCAACAACATGCACAGCCAATGCTTCAGCAGCATCCCATGATGCACCTGCAACAACAGAGCATGCAAATGCACCATCAGCAGCAGCAACAACAGCAGCAGCAGCAGCAGCAGCAGCAGCAGCAGCAGCAGCAAGGATTCCCTCAGATGCCCCAACAGCAGCATCAGTTCCTTCAGCAACAGATGCACCAACAAATGTATTCGCAACAACATCAGCAGCAGCAGCAACAACAGCATGCCTTCCTGCAGCAGTTGCGACCACAGTTGCTGCGGCAGCCGTTGCAGCAGCAGCAGCAGCTGCAGCAACAGCAGCATGCATTGCAGCAGTTGCAGCAGCTCCAGCAGCACAGGGTCCAGCTGCAGTTGCAACAGCAGCAGCAGCAGCAGCAGCAACAACAGCAACAACAACAGCAAAATCAGCAGCAGATGCACCAGCAACATTTGCAGCAACAGCAGCAGCATTTCCTGCAGCAGCAACAACAGCAGCTCCAGCAACAACAACACCTGCAGCAGCTGCAGCAGCAACAACAGCTGCAGCAACAGCAGCAGCAGATGCAAAGCCAGCCACAGCTGCAGCATCACAACCCTGAGGCCCTGCAGCATCAGCAGCAGACAACGTTGCAGGCTGTGCAGCTGCACCAGCTGTTTGGGCATGAGCCGGGGCAAGACAGTAAGTACAGCTGTCGGCCCGTATTGATAATGCCCTGTGGCTAGAGTGTTATTCATTCATGGACAGTGCTTGTTGTGCATGGCTGTACCAAAACAAAAGAGATCGGGATTCGTTGCCCTTCACATTAAGTGGAGCTGTACTGAATGTCTTCATTTGGCTTTGTTCATATGTTGGAGTTTAAAGCGGAACTCCAGTGATTTTGCAAAATTACAATCATTCAGTGTTTTAAATATAAACAAAGTTGTTCAGAGTCGTTCTGTGTGAAAGGCACCTTTCTAGAGAGGTTTACAGAGTCAGAGTTGTTCACCGTTATAGTACTAGGAACCAGACATCTGAAGCACTTAATGGCTCTAAAAACTACATCCGCTCCCGAGTGGCGCAACCGTCTAAACGTTGGCCTGATCATCAGGAGATCGCGAGTTCGATCCCTGGTGATGCTACAGCCGTCCGTAGCTGGGAGTCTGAGAGAGCACAGTTGACCTCGCTCTCTCTGGGTGGGTAGGATGGCCCCTCCTTCTCCCCCCATCACTCAGCGCGATGCTAGTCAGCGCAGGCGTCTGTTAGCTGACGTAACAGATCTGGCGGTTGGCGCTTTCCTCCGAGCGCGTTCGGCTGTCCAGTGACGTTGTGTGAGCGGCAGTTCGAAAAGAAGCGGTGGTTGGCTTCACAGGTCTCGGAGGAAGCCTGTGTTAGCCTCGCCCTCCTAGCGTTGATAGCATCGTGTGATTGGGGGAGTCCTAACTAGCGGGTGGAATTGGAGACGACTAAATTGGGGAGAAAATCGGGTAAAAATAAAAAAAAACAAAACAAAAAAAAAACTCCATCCTGTTAAGTGACTACCCAAATTGGTTATGAATGCGTTGCTTGATACCTGAGACATTGTTGTAAAGTTTTGGCTTAAAACGTATTTTTAGTATAAACTGTTACTCCAGGATTACTTCCTCTCAAAACCGCATTCTCAACTAAGACCAGTGCGTGCTGACTAACATGCCTTTGTTGTCACCAGCCTGTAGTTCAGCACGGCGAACGCCATCAGCAGCTTTTATTTACAGTTCGTTTTTACAGTTTTCTTGCTTATTTTGGAAGATCACAGAGTATATGGAGGACTTCGAGGAGGTGTGTTTCCAAAATGTTGTAGAGCTATATTGATTTGAACCAGACCACACAAATGAGTTGCAGTGGCTTTAAGAAGAGAGAGAGAAAGAGAGAGACTGAACCCGCCAGTGCTGAAGCAGAACAACACAGGGCAAAGGGAAATTAGTGTTAACAACAAGCTACTTGCTACTCTGCTTACCAGTTTATGAGGTAGGACAGCGAGGTACATGGTGCGCACGTTAGACAGTCTGTTGTAGGCTAACGGCTAACAGTGATATATGCACAGAGGCAAAATGCCAACAAATTTATTTCACTCACAAACGTTTCTGACCTCGATTCCAGTTTCTGTGGTGGAAAATACAACAGAGGGGACAGCAGGTTTCTTCAGCAGCCGCCATTTGAAGAAATCCGCTTTGTTTTTTTGTTTTGAGTAAGTTAGTCTTTGTCGGTGAAGTTGTTCGACTTTGGTATTTGTGTGTATCTTCAAAACAAGCCACAAGCCTCATGAATACTTACATCTGCTGTGAGTTTTGTTGACCACGTGCGACGCAACATCACCAACCCAGTCAACACAAAACGTGTGCAGGGCAGAGAGGTACATGCAGGACATTGTAAGGAAAAAATAATACCCAAAAAAACCTTATTTTTTCAAACCTAGCACTATTTTACCATTATCAGCAGGACACAAAAACGTATGATGCATGTAAGTTCACTGGTCATTTTGGATATCAGACAAAATGGTGATATTTGTAGTGTAGGCAAAACGACATCTGGTTCCTAATACTACAATGGTGAACAATTTTGACTCTATAAATTGCTCTAGAAAGGCACCCATTGAATAATTAAGTCATTTTGCAGAATCAGTGGAATTCCCCTTTGAAGGCATGTCTTTAGATATTTATGTTGTCATCCATTCTGTTCAGTCCCAGAAGATGGCTTTTTGGTTGGCTGTGTCTTCGCCATCGCCGACTATCCAGAGCAAATGGCTGATAAGCAGTTACTGGCCACGTGGAAGCGGGTAAGCTCTCAGACTGTCATCTGGCAGGTCAAAGAGAAATTAATTTTACACGATTTTCCATTTAGCTCACATTATTTGGTGTCCATGTTGCTTCTTTAGTTTTAAACTGGATCTATGAGGATAATAGCTAACAGTCAGTAATCTTTCCTCTAAATCCGTCGCCAGAGCTTCTCTCAACCTGCTCAAACCTCTTCATTAAGGTCATGCAGTCTTGATATGGTTTAGTGCACAGTACAACTTGCTGCGAGACACAGAAATGAATACGAATTTACCGTGCAGTTAATTGGTACAGTCAGCCGTTTTAGACAGCAGGGGTTAGGGCTGAACAATTTTAACGAAAATGTCTGATTGCGATTCTTTTTAACCAAATTTTGTGTTGTGATTTAAAAGTGATTATTTTCTGTAAATTAAGCTCCATTTCAGACTTGAGCCTTAATGTATTGTGCCCAACTGCCAGTTGACAAGCTTTGCGTTATTAGATAAAATATCCCCTAGTAAAACTTAAGACAGCGACGAATAATGTAGGAAACTATAACTGTTCATCTTTAAAAATGGAAATAGAAATCACAAACATAATCTAAAGACCATATGTCCCCATGACACGCATGAACTGTTGGATGGATGAATAGTCGGACTGTGCAGGGGAGTCAGAATTCAGCAGAACTGCCTACTGTGTTTAGCAACACAGTGAAGTTTTGTTCATTTTAGGGCTGGGCGATTGGACAGTGTAATCGGTTATCGTCGATGATGGACAAGTAAGTCGATGGTGATGTGTAAAAGGTAGTAATCGCTGTTTTGGTAAAAGACTTGAAAGAATTAGAGAGAACTAATTTACCATTAAACAGCTTGAAAAATGCTTTGGGAAACTGGGGTTCACGTTTAAGAAGTGTCCAGACTCGCACATCAGTTGTTTGTTTTCATACACATAGGGAGAGAGAGGTGTGGTACTCTCTCTGTAATGCTAGCTTTAGGATTCCCCTTAATTTACGAGTGGAATCGAAAATGAATGCCGACGTGCTTCGGAACTTCAGCTCACCTCAACGTGAATCACTCCAGTGGAAAAAATGAGCTAAAATCAATGGATGTCGGTGTAGATCAGCTGAGTTAACTCTAACCTGGCGAGAAAGTTAGTCCGATCCTTGTGTACGGCCAGCGTTATCAGAAAAAGTTACTAATTAATAATAAATAACTCTTAAAACACTGAGTAATTATGGGGCCTTTAAAACTTTCAGTACAGTAACCTCCCCACTGTCTCTGCTGCCCGAGTAAAATGTGCAGTATTTTCTGTACAGATTGTGTCTCTGTGGTTATACTTAGCTGAATTTTGAAAACGCTGCTGTAACGAAGGACCTTGGTTTTAATGTGGAAAGCACGTTGGCATGGCTTTGGAAATCACTGTCAGGCTGGAGTTTCTCCAGCAGGGAGCACTGTTAGCATGCAAGTTACCACAAATTTGCAGCAGAAGCAGCTCATAATCGCATGTGTTTGCAGTAACGTTTATTATAACGCCAGGCTACTCAGTATCATGTCTAATATGTGAGCGTTTATAAAGATTTTCATCGAAGCAGATGATGTTAACGAAGCATATGAACTAAAATAGAATAGAAAGTAGGTCAAAGCTGCAGCAGCCAGCATGTATTTGTTTTGGGGTGGCCGGGGGAGGGGGGTGATATAATCGATAATCTTTTAACTAAAATATAATTAGCATGATATTTTCAGGCATCACCCAGGCCTAGTTCATTTGGACAGCTTACGGTAAGTCATACTGTGCACTAAACTACATTGACAAGTGTGCTTGACCTCAAAGAAAAGCTGGATGCAGTGTGAGCAAGTATTTATAGTAATGGTTTGGGTGACTATTGACTTCTCATGTCTGTTAGCTACGTTACCTTTGTAGCTCCACATTTAAACTAGAAAAGTTAGGACACCAGACATGCGTGGACTCATAGAGCACTAAGTAGGAAATTGTGTACATTTTGTTTTTTCACTGAACCATTCCTAAAAAACTGGTTGAAAGGAGGTTAAATCTAAAGGTGCCCAGCTCCAGTCTTGAGTGACCACTTCAGCGTTAGGATGAATAAAACACCTAAGATTTAAAATCTCTTTGGGACCCCTTTGTTTATATTCAGTGCAATTGTTTCAGAATCCTTCATGCTCTGGAGGTGATGCGTTCTAATAATCTAATAATAATCAGTAACCACATTTCTCTTAAACCTAGATAATTCAGGCATATGGAGGTTCCGTCGACTCGGCTTTGAATCGCTGCACTCACTTGCTGTGTGAAAGTCAAGTCAGCAGCATGTACCTGCAGGTAAGAATAGCCTTTGCTCTTCTTTGATGTAAAAATATGCTTCATTGATATTTTGCGTCATATTTTAAGAAGTGCACTGATGCATCATGATACCTAAACGGGGGCCGCAGTTCATAAGTTGCACTTAACAAACCGGGACCAGAAACTTGTCCGTTTTGCTTGCCATCGCTGAGCTGTACATACAGGCCTAGCCCTGTTCTGTGACATTACAGATGGCTCATTAAGTGGCTGCAGGATAGCCTTGAGTTGTGGATGGTTCGCTTGGTATTTTAATAGTATTTAATAATGTACCACATTTGAACTAGTACTACTTTTTTAGATATGACAGAAACGGATTTAACACACAAAATAGGGAAACCACTTCTGAGATCTTTCTGTAGCCACAGCCTCCAGTTTGTGTCATTCATGTTTCTGAATTAGGGATGTGCGCAGATACTTGAGTACTTGGGGAACCAGTGTTCAAGTACTAAAATCCCTATTTGGGAATTCGTTACATTTCATCGTGGGAAGACAGAAAATATACATGCTAATGGTTTGTATGCATGTGTATTATGTTACACTTTGCTATGACAAAAAACAAGTTCTTATCTTTCGCATGTTGCCAAGGACATGTCGTTAAAGATGTGACTGAGAGGGCAGAAGTAGTGTGGCTGGCTCAGGTGTAGCTTTTTTGCTAATTAGGCTAACTACTATAATTCATGTTGGCTAGGTTTAGAAACAATGAACACATTTCTCTGACAAGCACATCATTGGCACCTCATCCACTTAGGAGACTGGTCTGGTCTGGTCCTCATCAGCATCCAGCACTGTAGCGGTTGGCTTTAGTGTTTGCTTATTAGCTCATCTGAACAAGCAGCCTTGTTACTCATCCAACACGAGAAACTACCAGTTTCCCTGGGTTCTGAAAAGTTCGTGTTTTTTAATTTTTTGGTCTCTTATAACTAAAAAAGTAAACCAAAAGCCCAATGTTAATTTCGAACGAAGTATTTTTCCCTTTCCTTAACCAGACGTGTATTCGTTAACTCTGTCAGATACTTTAAGAGGTCTGCGTAAGACTGATCGGAATCAGAATCATTTGTCCCGCTCCCGCCCGCAACTGAAACGTTTGGTACCGCTCCCGCCTGCCCAGTTCTCTCAAGGCGGACTGACATCCAATATCTGACACAGTCTAATCACAAATACATTATTATCTGCTGAGGTAACATGGCAGTCATGGCCATCAGGCTCTCTGCGAAGTAACTTTACTGAACGCCATTTATTCCCCGTAAACACGGAGCAGGAATTATTTTTGGTGTTTGATTGAATCAAAGTGAGGTCAGAGGTTCAGACCCTTAATATTTCTTTTAAGACATACTGTTAAACTATTGATCGTGGTGGTAATCGTGATCACGATATAGTTGCATCATGCCTTGTGTCATGCCATTGATAAGACTCGATCATAATGTTCCAGTAATGTCGTTATCTGGAGGTGAATGCTGCATTCGCCGTGACCTAAAACGCTGTACGTGATTTACCTTTGTAGGCTTTGAGGGAGGGGAAGCGCTGTGTGACGGCTCATTGGCTCAACACCATTCTGAAGAAGAAGAGGATGGTTCCTCCTCACCGGACCCTCCACTTGCCCTTCAGCTTCCCCCCAGGAGCCAAGCCCTGCTCACAGCATGTATGAAAACTGATAGTTTTTCTAGGAGTTTAATCTGAATGCTTTCAGATTAGGCTTGTGCACTTGAAGCCGTAGTCTGGCAACAATTGAATGTGCAAAAATATTTTAAACCTAGTCAGTCCGACAGGACGTTTGGTGTCTGCTTGTTTAGTTTTGCACTGCAGCTATGAAACTAAAGTAGCAAACAAGTAGATGTGCAAACTACATGCTTAAGTCATCTCATACTTGCCTCAAACTTCATCCATTCCTAAGTAATCTCAGATAAAATGGCTTATGGTTTCTGGAACTGTATAACATACTGTTATCTACAAAAATGGGCAAAAATACAGGCTTTTTAGCAACGTAGTAGAATGTGTAGCAGTGTAATACTAAAGAAGCTACCTTCAGAAACCTGTCTCGCTGTGTGATTTACTTTACTGAGCGCTTGATAGAGCTTGATAACTAACTGATGACCTATGCATGGCTCTCAGGGTGATTTTATGTGATTTATTTTTGCTGTTATTCTTAGATCATTTCAGTGACTGGATTTGTGGACAGCGATCGAGATGATTTGAAGCTCATGGCCTACTTAGCAGGAGCTCGCTATACAGGCTATCTGTGTCGCAGCAACACTATTCTCATCTGCAAAGAGTAAGATCATTCATTCGTTTATTCGTTTTGGCCTTCTCTCCTCTATCAGCTGTGTGCTTAAGGTAGGGGTTACACTACACGACTTTCACCCCGATTTTAGCCTTGATTTTCAATCTAACCGAGTCTGTGCTGGTTGGTTTTGGTCTGCAAATTTTTGGGTCGGTCGGATTCGACAGTTGGAGAGAGAATCGAGTCGTAATCTAGTGTAAACTGGTCAACGACTCAATCTGAACACACTCCTGTATCAGCCAATGAGAAACCGAGAGCGCAAAAGAAGAAAATACAGCAAGTAAACAGAAAAATGTCAAAGTCGCTCATGTGTGGAGGGAAGCTTTTTAATTAGCTGAGTTTAAGGCACAGTTGAGTTTATGTACGTTTAAAATTCTTAAAAAAATAATACAATAATGATCACAATTTTAAGTCAATGACCTTCGCTTAAACATATTTACCTGCTGCTTCTTTACTGCGTCAGCGCAAGTTCAGTGAGTCCCATCCGGTTCAGCAGCAGCTGAAAAGTTGAGTAGTGTGTGATCCCTAATCGTTTAGTGTGTGATCATCAATGTTTGTCACCCAAAAAAATCTGCAAAAACCAGTCGGGTAGCGTGAGGTGCCCAGTCTTTTCTTATCTGTTCAGACTTTAAAAGTCGTGTAGTGAATCCTAGGCTTTAGTTTAGAGCAGTAGAAACTCAAACATGAGGAGCATTGTTCATAAACCACAGTGAGTGGACTGGAATGAAACTGAAAAGGACAGAAGTATGTGTTTTCTGAACTCTTCAGCCAAGGACATGACCTGGTTTCACTTGGAAAACCCTATCGAAAGATTAAAAGATCTTCCCCCAGTTGAATATACAAAGCCTCTGCCGTGGAGTCAATAAATATTTCATGTTTAAACCTACATTTCTGTGTATTTCCACTAGTTCACCAAATTAGCAGCTTGTATTTCTTTAATACGTTGTTTCATTGTCCTTATATAAGACCATTATTAGCTTTAAGAAGCCTGTTTGTTGTTCTGGCTCAGGTAACTGACAGAAATGAAAAGCTGCCAGCCTTACTAATATACAAACGGGAATATCCTGTTCAGCCATTCTGTTTTATTTTCTTGTCCATTGATCTGGTCATTTAAAATGATGTTCAATGCAGTCACATGATGCATTATTAGTTTTTTGACTGGCTGTTTCATGATGCTTTTTTACGAAGTTGAGAATTTCAGAGTTTCAGGACGCTTTATGTTGTGCAATAGTGCATGTATGTTTTTTCCATGTAAACCCTGCCTAAATTTGACTGTATGTGTGTGAAATGTACCATATCATGTTTCATTGCTGAACATTTACATACATACAAATCTTTTTTTTCATAATTTATTTGTTCATTTTTTGTGTTCATGTATGTTAAAAGGGAAAATGTCCTTCTCATGAAGCTGCCATTTTGGAGATGAGGTTTCTGTTTGACAGCTGTGATATAAGTTTATGCTCGGGATGTATCAGGCAGCCGTACTCATCAGCCATGTTTGTGTTGTGGTCAGGCCGAGTGGACTAAAGTATGAGAAGGCGAAGGAGTGGAGGATCCCGTGTGTAAATGCCCAGTGGTTGTGCGACATCCTGCTGGGGAACTTTGAGGCTTTACGGCAGGTCCAGCACAGCAGATACTCGCAGTTTACCATGCCCGAACCTCTGGCGCCAAACCCACACCTCGTCCAGAACCTACTGGGTAAGATTCTGGAAAAATTGTACCAACTGAGGGTCTCCCAGGACTGGAACTAATGTCCGCTGGTCAAAAGCAGACTTGGTTCAGTTTTTAATGCTGATAATAAGGGCTGCCAAGCTCTTTCTGTATGCTTGGTAATATTTTCAGTTATTATAGTATTTATACAGATCAGATCAGCTCATTGTAGCCCTGTTTATTTGTTATAACAACAGTTTTTAAGTTTTTAATGGCCTACTTAATAATCCCTAATGAACCAGTTTTAAAGCATTCATTAACTTTTAATAAGGATTATCTTATTATAAAGTGGTACCAATATGTGTGTGTTTGAATTACAGTACGATAGGGCTGGGCGATAAAACGATAACGATAAGTATCGTGATATAACTTTTCCTCGATAGAGCGATAAGATAGGTTCGATAAATGTTCGATATAATACACCGTTCTCACACTTCCACGTTTTAGCGAAAGCCCTGGTGGCGTTTTCTACTGCAAGGAAAGCGACACTACTCTGCTGTCGCCAGGAGAGGGCGCACTTCCGAATTTTTCGACTTGATTAGAGAGGGAGGGGGCCACGAGTAAAAAAAAGGGTCGCCAAATATACTTTAGCAACGGCTGAAACGCAGAGTTATACATTCCCTGTCTGAGTGGAGCGACCGGCGATCTGCTCTCCTGTGACCGAGTGTGAGTGACGAGGTCAGTGGTGTAAATGTACTGTCCTACGGTGAACTCACCTCTTTCCATGCATCCTAACAACTTCAGCGGTGTTAAATCACGTCTGCAGCGCCGTGTTACAGCGCCAAACCGTCATATTTTAGTATTAGTGCATTCTCGAGCAACGAAAGTGAAAGAAAGTGGTTCATGTTTGAAAGTAAACTGAGGAAGCTGTGAGGCACTGGAGAGCGGGAGAGTGCTGTCTTTCCAGGCTAGCTGTTTTTAGCTGCTGGCTAATTGAAGCAGCGCTCCGGCAAAACACGGTGAATTGATGATACTGTAGATCAAACAAGACACAAAATCACCGCTTTCAGTTTAAACGTACCTAAAAGGAGGACTCTGTGACTGGTGTGAGAGATTCACACTGCAGATAATGCTTTTACACAGCGAGCGTCAGATACACTGCGGTTCACCCCTTAAACTACTACGATAGCATAGAGAAACCCAGTCGTCTAGCTGGTGTCTGAATACTGTGATCTGCTCTGACATGGATGTGGTAGGAGTGACCGCAGTGACCTACCGAACCGAGTTGACGTTGTTGAGAAACTAAAGAGTTTACCTCTGTTGTTGGCCACTTGTTTAGCGTTTGTAGCGGGGTAGCCGAGCGCTCGTCACCAGACAGCTAAAAATAATCTGTTTTCTTTCTTAAATCATGACTGTTACAAAAATTGCAGCTGTGCTTTTCCAGCTGATAAAAACAGCTCAGAAACTTTCTCCCACTGTCCCAAGACAGATTAGTGAAATGTTCCACTGTTTGCCGAGTGTTTGTCATGATCGGACCATAAGTGATAGTTTAAAACCACAGTTAACCACCCAGGAGCAAAATCAGCCTTCAAACGTGAAAGAAATCATGATCGCGATATGTATCGATATCGAACGATATGAATTTTGTTTATCGTAATAACATTTTTGGCCATATCGCCCAGCTCTACAGTATGATATGTATATGAATATCCATTATACATTCACAAGCTTAACCAGAATCTCAGAATATCAACATGTTCTGAGAACGTCGTCGGGTACTCAGTGTGTCAGAATCTGTCCCCGGGGGGGGGGTCACTGAAGTCTCTGACTTATAGCTGTATATGTTCTTTTCTTATGCCTCATTTCTTGGTTGATGTAGTGACTCAGCGCGTCTCCTTCTTCTTTGCAGTTGCTTGGCGGACTCCTGTCAAGGTCTCCCCAGAAGCGTTGGTGGTAAGAAGCCAGTCAGACTCTTTCTAAATGATTTCTCACTGTCTTCATAACGTAATCAGATACATGTGAGCTTTTTCAGACACACATTAAGCTTAGATGAGAATTAATTTACTGTGAAAGTGATAGTTTGGCTGCGTATCTAATTTAAACAATTTCCCTCTTTCCTAACATGTAGTCAGTCAGACAAGACACGTTTGGTGTTTGATGCCTAAATCATGATACTTGCCTCAAACCACTTTGAGTTGTTAAGTGATCTCAGATAGACTCGCTAGTGTGGTTTCTGACATTGTATGACACGGTTATCTATAAAATGTATGTTACATAGCTAAAAACTGTAATAGCAGCTATTCTCAAAATTAGTTTTGCCCATTTTATATAGAACAGTGTCAGAATTAACATAAGCAAGGTCAGGTTTGTCAAATAGTCTAACTTCTTGACCATTGACTGTTATGTACCTAGTCTACTGCCCATTTCTATTTTTCTTCCATGAAAAGATTGACATGAGATGAACGATGTATAAACTTCATTAGGTTATTTATTTATTTAACTTTGAAGATTAATTTGCAGACTAAAGTAAAAGTATGGCATATACAGTATTGAGCAAAGGTCAGAGAACACTTTTCATTTATTTACAGTACAAGTTATTTATTTTTTAGGGGGAAAAAAAAACAAAACATTTAAATTTAGCCCTAACAATTAAATATAATTGTAGCACGGCATGTGCTACCCTGGGCTCAAGGAGGACGCTGGAGGCAGGGTTCAGGGTTGCAGCAGCCATATTTCTTTAATCACACAAAACAAACAATACAAAACACCAAAACCTAGGCTGGCCACTTTTCAGTGGCTTCAGTCAGCTAGACTTTTCCGTCTTCTTCAAAATAAGCTTTTCAGCTCTTCTGTCTCTTGCTGCTGCTGCTCGTCCCTCTCTCTCTCTGTTCCCTCTCAGCTCTTTTAAAAGGTGCTCACACTGCCAGCCAGATCAGCATCAGCTGGCTCTCATTATGAGCACCTGAGCCAAGAGGGAACGAGAGCTCGCTGCTCCACCTCCTTGTCACCGCCCCCAGCTGGCAGCTCAGCCGCCCGGGTCGAACGTGAGGTATAATGGAGCGACCTCGCTGCGTAACAGAGGGCGGGGCCCAGGCGGCGGAGCTCGGGACTTGCTCCTTGCCCTGGTGCCTCTCTTTGCCGGCGCCGTCGTCGTCTTCCTCCTCCTCCCGCCATCACTCGGGTTACTCGGAGGAGCTCGGGCTTTGCGCTCCGCCCCCTCCCCACTCGCGGCTCTCTCCCTGCCGTACTGGCCGAGGTTCGTCGCCGCTGGTTGTTCGGGCCCCGCCTTCCTGCCGGCTCTCGCGGCCATCATCGTCGGGGCCCAGGGGGCGGGCGCATACCACAATAATATTAAATTTTTTATGTTTTTGTGGTGTGTCCACTGTTTGCCTTTACAACTTCCATTCTTTTCAAGAGATTTGCTTTTAGTTTTACAAAGAAATCTGCAGGGACATTTTTCCACACCTCCGAAGTTCAGTCTTAGAAGTTGGTTGAATTTTCTGCTTGTCACGATCCAAGTTCACCCATTCATTGATGTTGAGGTCTGGACCCGTCCATTGTTGTGAGAACACCAGCAACTACTTTGTGTGATTTACTTTTCTTCGTTATGGCTTCTTGACAGCTACACATCCTTTTAGACGCATAGAGCTGTCTTCTCACAGTGGAAGGTTGGACAGAAACACGTGTATGACAGTTTTGATGGTCTGCCAGGTTGTTAGGAGTCTATCTTTTAATCAATTTAATCAACTCCAAATTTGAAAACTTCTGTTTTATCACGTTTTCTTTTATCTTTCCTCTTCTTTTGCAAGTGGATTATCTAATCTCGGAAATATCTCCTGAAAAATAATGAACTTGCACTTAATGGTCATTTTGACTGGAAATTAAGTAAATGAAGGGGGTTCTCTAATGTTTTCACAGTGCTGTATTTATTGTAATATATTAATTCACAGTACTGACTGTGACTGTAATGTTTATGGTGTTTTCATGCTCAGAGCCTACGTCTGCAGCAGAAGCAGAAGCAGACGGAAGGCAGCTCACAGCCACCGGCCAAGAAACCCAAGTGAGTTCCGAATTATCCTTGATTTACACCCTTTAAATGCATTCATATATGTGTTAGGGATGTCAGAGTGACTAACAACGTGCTAATGCAACAAATTATAAAGCCACCATTTATTTAAATGCTGCTATTTAGGGCTGCCGATAATATGACATCATGATGCTTCAAGACGTTTTCGCGATACACAATAAGCATCACATTGTTTCGTTTTTCCAAGGTTTTGTAGTTGCAGTGAACAAAAAAAAGCAGCATTTTAAAAATATGAAAAAATATGAATACAGTGATTTTGATTCAGTCTATTATGTACTTCACTGATCTAATCCTATTAAACAGGTCTAATTGTGCTCTCTTTGTAATGAAACCTGCAGTTGGTCAGTGTTAAGTACTGACAGTATTCCCGATATACTCGGAAAAGCATTTTGAGATGTAATGAAATGACAACTGTTAACACATTTTTCGAATTTTATTATTGTGCAGGCTGAACACCATAATTGTAGCCCTCTCATTCAAATACAGCTACAGTAACTTTCAATACAATATTTAGTGTGTTTATATGTAACAATAACTTTCGGCAGACTATGTTATATATTGCTTGCGGGAAATCTATGAAGATTTGATTATTGCTATTTGTTAGAGATTTGCTTGTTTCTTTTATGTTGTACATAAGCAGTTTTGGATTGTGAGAAAATTCAAATCTAATTAACACCTTAAACAATAAGGGTCTGTATGCGGCTGTATATATAATAGTTAACGATTAATTATAGCACTTACTAAGTAATAGCTCTTAAAATTAACAGCTCAAAAACCTGCATGTAGGGCTGGGCGATAAAACGATAACGATGATTATCGCGATAAAACTTTTCCTCGATAGAGCGATACGACATGTTCGATAAATGTTCGATATAATACACCATTCTCACACTTCCACGTTCAGTGAAAGCCTTCGTGGCGTTTTCTACTGCAAGGAAAGCGACACTACTCTGCTGTCGCCAGGAGAGGGCGCACTTCCGAGTTTTTCTACATGATTAGAGAGGGAGGGGGCCACGAGTAAGATGAGTCTTTAGCAACGGCTGAAACGCAGAGTTATACATTCCCTGTTTGAGTGGAGCGACCGGCGATCTGCTCTCCTGTGACCGAGTGTGAGTGAGGAGGTCAGTGGTGTAACTGTACTGTCCTACAGTGAACTCACCTCTTTACTAACATCCTAACCAGCTTTAGCAACGTTAAATCACAATCCTCACAACTACAGCGCTGTTACAGCGCTCGGACAGTCATATTTAAGTATTAGTGCATTCCCAAGCAACAAGAGTGAAAGAAAGAAGTGGTTCATGTAAATTACAGCCCTGATTTATAGGAAAGTAAACTGAGGAAGCTGTGAGGCATTGGAGAGCGGGAGAGCGCTAGTTTTCCAGGCTAGCTGTTTTTAGCTGCTGGCTAACTTGAAGCAGCGCTCCGTCACTCCACAACACGGAGAACTGATGATACTGTAGATCAAACACGACACAAAAGCACCGCTTTCAGTTTAAACGTTCCTAAAAAGAGGACTCTGTTTGTCTGGTGTTGATATTTTGCGGTTCACCCCTTAAACTACTACGATAGAATAGAGAAACCCAGTCGTCTAGCTGGTGTCTGAATACTGTGATGTCATGTGTAGCGGGGTAGCCGAGCGCTCTGCACCAGCTAAAAATAATCTGTTATCTTTCTTAAATTATGACTATTACAAAACAGCCATGCTTTTCCAGCTGGCAAAAACAGCTCAGCAGACACTTTCTCCCACTCTCCCATGACAGATCTGTGAAATGTTCCATTGTTTGGCGAGTGTTCGTCATGTTCTGAACATAAAGGATAGTGTAAAACATGATATCGATATCGAACGATATGAATTTTGTTTATCGTGATAACATTTTTGTCCATATCGCCCAGCTCTACCTGCATGCATGTACATGAGTTTTAGCATACAATATAAAAATCAGTCTGCCTAAACTTTCACCATTGCATGCACCAGTTAAGAGATACCCAGGTACTGTAAAATAGCATGATAAAGTGTTGCTGTAACTACTCAAAGTACTGAAATGAAAATACCGAGTCCTCACTGGAAGCATACATTCATTATGTGCATCTACAGAATAGAGGAGCTGCCCACGCCAACCAAAAAGCTGCCCCCGGAGTCCACGCCATTTGTCTTCTTCACCGGCTTTGAACCACTGCAGGTCCAGCAGTACATAAAGGTATGCAGAACCATTGTGCGTCCTCACGTTTCACTGTAGAACCTGTAATTAGCTCCGTTTGAGAGTGGAAGAGGATATAACTGGTCTTTGGCTGCTCGTTAGCCTGCCTTTTCTGGTCCAGGTGTCTGAAGAGGTTCGCTTTAAATGAACACGTTTGGGGGAGAATAAATGCCTGCAGGCTTTAGTGGAGCTCAAAAGCTGAGAGAAATCAGTTTCTCATCTGAAATAACACTTACACAAGTGCCCTTTACCGAGTCTTCACGTTTTGTCTGTATTGAACACTGTCTCTCTCTATCCTCCTCTGTTCCTCTCTCACCCCTTCAGAGATTGTACGAACTCGGCGGTGAAGTAGCGGACAGCGCGCAGAAGTGCACTCATCTAGTGGCCAGCAAAGTGACACGTACGGTCAAGTTCCTGACGGCCGTATCGGTCGTTAAGCACATCGTCACACCGGAGTGGCTGCAGGAGAGCTGGAAGAGCCAGAAATTTGTGGGTGAGTCTGGCAGGAGGTGATGTGCAGGGATTGTGTGCTTCTGTTAAAACAGTGGTTTGGCCAAAAATCTAATATACACAATTTCCTGCTTAGCCCAGTCAGCCAAGACATGACATTTGCTTCTTGAGGCTGATGTTGCTAACAAATAAGAGAAGCTTATAGCCCATTTATTAGCATTGCACAAATTCCTTGACTGAATTAGGTGCTAATTGCCAGGTTTCGATTACTTGTCAGGCCTCATAAGTCCAGAAAATAATTTCGGTGAAAGGTTAAACCGAGTTGGGGGGCAACATGGACCTAATTTCATAGACTATTATTTACAGTAATATTAATGATAATAGCAGCAAGCCTGTTTTTTTTTTTTTTCTGGTACTTTTGAGATGATCCCTAAAACTGAAACGGACACAGAATAAATACCGTGATAGAGTGTTAGTCCGTGGTTATTCTTTGTCAGATAAAGCGGTTCAGTAAGTTGTGGTTGTAGTGTATTGTCTTCTTTAATTTGGCCCCAAAACTGAAATTAATGTTGTCAGAATAATAGAATTGTGAACAGGATTAGTGAAAGGCTGGACAGTATGACAGTATTGTATTATTATGATGATAAATTATGCCACAATGGGCTTTTCTGAGTATGCCATGGGTATCGTCAGTACACTGAACGTGTCTCGTTTACCTGAATTTAGTGCAGTATGTGAAGTGTTGAATAAAATTCATTGTATTTATAGTGTTTAATAGTATTCGATAGTATTCTTAATATAACTCTGCTGGTTCCTTTTTGTCTGTTCCAGCTTATCAAACTAAAATATTGTGATATGTATTGTGTATCCTGAAAGGGTAATAAGTTATCGTGATTAACACCCACGACTATTTGAGCTCATTTAACAAGTGTAGCTCAACAGTTATGTTTTTAGAACAATCATATCTATGTTAGCTACAATAAATATGGTATAAATGTAGGATATCACATCACCCAGCATGCTTAGTGAGTTTGGTTATGCTCGTTTGTGGGACTACTAGTGTTTATCTGTGGTTCGTATGGAATCAGTAAATGAACAGTGCTTTTTAAACCAACTGTAAATGAGTTTTTACTGTCACTGGGGACTGTTACCATCTCCGTGCACAGGCCTGTGGATTTGTGAACCGGGTTAGGAGGCATTCTGTCAAAGTGTGTGTCTGTATGTCTGCAGATGAACAGAACTTCATGCTGCGTGATGCAGAGGCTGAGGTGCTGTTCTGTTTCAGTCTTGAGGAGTCGCTGAAGAGAGCCCACGCAGCTCCACTCTTTAAGGTGAGGAGTCGAGTCTATTCACCATAAATTTATATTATAGGGCTGAAAATCTCTGACCTGGGGTTTGAATATAGGTTCATTTATTCGGGAAACATTTGTGTGCATCATGAAATCTGACATTTCATATAGATGCTAACCACTATACACAAAAGCCTATGAATTTTAGTGGCCATAAGTGTGCATTCTTTATTAAATGTTGTTATAATTGGTTATAACATTGCAGATTCAGTGCCTCTTCAAACACCCCCTACACAGGCTTTTTACATACATAGTTCATTGGTATTTGTGTGACTGTGTGTTCAGAACATAGCAAATTCACATCAACGTTGCTTTTTCAGTAAAAATGAAACACAGCTTAATTTTATTAATTTGATCAAATCATGCGTACCTAATATCTGATATATAACATCTCGATAAGAGCTTTAATCACTTTTTTTTACTGTATTCCTAAACCTAATACAACCAGAGAACTGAGTATGACCCAAGCCAAACCGAACCTAACAAAATTGTGTCCGAAACTCAGCCAAGCTGGCTTTTCATCAAGTGCCGAATGAAACCTCATGTTTTTAATGATGCCATTTGCTCAGTTACAATATAGGACAGTAATAGCTGTCGGTAGATCATGGGTAAATAAAATAAAAAATAACATAAATAATCTGTCGAGAATCATGTTAAAATCTACTTTAATGAGTTCATTCATTAAAAACTGCTTTAGAATTATATATTCTAAGCCTTTTATTTATCTGGATACACTTTCCATAATGAATGGTTCTTATTGTGTGCGATGCTGATATGCAGTGATGTTAGCCTTCACCTGTTGAACTCCAAAGGTCTCTCTGTACAGAGAACATAACACATAAGTTATTTTTTTTTTCAGACAAAATGTCCTTTTGGCTGTACTAAACTGTACTTTCCAGAATCACTTCATGCTGAATTTGCCACGCATCCATTTTTTTTCCTTTCCTTTTCTTTTGAAAACATCCTTATTGTTGCCCTTACATAGTAATAATAATAATAATAAAAATAATAATAATAATCTTTATTACTGGTGATCAAAGTTTACAGTAATGGGAATAAAATAAAGTTATAAATGATATGAAGCAACAACAGATTAAGCTAAAAACATAAAAATAAAACATTTTAATGAGAAGCTAAATTAAAGAGATCCATATTCAGTTTTTTTAAAGTGTGTACTCAGCTTGACTGCCTATAAAAGGAGAATTGAGTTCTATAGTTTAGATACATAATAACGGAGCGAGTCTCTCCACGTTTTCTGTATTTTACCGAAGGTATTTGCAGAAGGCCAGTATCTGCAGGGCTGATATGAGCTGTCTTTGTTTTTGAAAGGACAAGTTTAGAGGGTGTATAACTTTTTTCGGAAGCTCAGTTTAAAAAAAAAAAGCATTACAGTAATTAACTTTGCTTGTAACAAACACACAAACAAGTTTCTCTGCTTCACTCTGGGATTGAAAAAGCCAAACTTTATTAATTTTTCCCAAACGATAAAAAGCTACTTCAGTGACTGTGTTTACATGCGGATTAAAACAGAGCTCAGACGTTTGTGAAAGCTTGTATTGAAGTGGTCCAGATCGAGAACTGATGAGTAGAAATGTTCCAACATTACTTGAAATTGGGACTATTTAATGTAGCTCATCCTAGTTTAATACAAATAAACGTCAGTAAAATTACAGTTTGGGGAAAAGTGGTTCAAGCAGTCACATGTTTTTAAAAAACAGCAGCTGTATGGCAAAACCTATCACACCTCCCCTCCCCTCTTCTCCCCTCTTCTCCCATCACTGTCATACTTTTTTCCTTCTTTATTCTGCCTAGTCTTGGCTGTGTGCTGAGCAGTGGTCTGGTCCAGCCTTTGCTGTGCTCCGGCACTGACACATGGCTTAATTGGATGTTGTGGAGAACATTCGCTGACAGAGATACATATATATTTTTAAAAGACATCTCACTCCCGTCTCCACAGGGGAAGTACTTCTACATAACACCAGGGATATGTCCGAGCCTCAGCACCATGAAAGCCATCGTGGAGAGCGCTGGAGGGAAGCTGCTGTCCAAACAGCCTTCCTTCCGCAAGATCATGGAGCACAAGCAAAACAAGGTAACCCACCCTCTCCTCCTCCCGCGAGGACCAACTTGCTCTGCCCTCGTTCAGCCGTGGAGTTTATGTATCGATCTTCTGGAGCCGCCTTGACATTTGCACCAGACATAATGGCTGCACTAAATGGAGGCTTATTTAGGCTTATTTAGAGCCAGGAGACATCAGCGGGCCAACACCGGGTCAAATAGTCACTTTTTGTCTTAATGTTCTTTTGTAAATTTGAAAATGACACAAAGCTTTTTCGAAATAAGAGTTAAACACTGTTGAAAACATACCATTCACTTCCCACTCACATGCAGTCCAATTTTATTTGAATATTCAAATTTTATAACAATTATAACAGAGCCCATTTACATATATCAGTCTAACAAAAAACAGGCTGTTTAATTCTAACACAGGGGTCAGCAATGAGAAAAGGAAAAGAGGGATTTAAGATGAACAAGATTTGTAGGCAAATGGACTTATTAGCATTTATAATCACTCCAGCTGGTTTCCTGATACGTTTAATCAACGAGAAACTGTCAAACACTAAAAATTTGCAAGGCTGAAGTCGCTTCTCATTCTCCAGCTTCTTGTTGAATTTTCCTGTTCCACCTTAAATGGTGTAGCAGTCACATTCTGGCACCTCAGGCACCATTTAAGGTGGAACAGGAAAATTCAAACAAAAAGCTGGCGAATGAGAAGCGACTTCAGCCTCATAAAAAGTCGAACATTGAGAGACAATTTACAAGAAACTATTCTAAGTCTGTGCTTTTGTTTATATTTTTTAGCCTATACTAGGACATTATCACATACTGAGACATTTACAGCCAAGATGGTAAAACGTTACTTCAATAAAATAGATATAAAACGTTGTGGCTCCCAAGGTGGTTTGATTTTTGCAGAAAGGACAAAATAGCTCTTCTTAACATTCAGGTTGCCGACCCCTGAGATAAAGGATTAAGAGAGGTTGGAAAATGGAGATGTAAAAATCAGTCATGATTATTTTTGGTACATAAAACCACACAGAAGCTATAAGTGATAAATATATGATAAATTCTGCATGTAAATTTTACTGTGACTATGGAGGCACCGATGTTGGAATACTGGGCTGATTCTGATATCTGATTTTTTTTTTTCATGTACATATCTGCTGATGCTGATACATGCTTTTTTTATACAATGTAGAAATGAACATTACAGAAAAATATAACATTTATTTGTAGATGGTTACAAATGAAGTAAAATGAATAAAATATATTTAAAACAAATATCTGCCAATACTGATGTAAATCCGATATCATTGTGCATATCTAATTATAGCTTTATTCTTGATGTTATACAGCCTTTATACAGTCATTTTAGAATCTACTACAGCTCCTAACATTTTTAACTATTTTTAACTATTTTTAACTATTTTTAACTCCTAACATTTTTAATTATTACTTATGTACAGCTTTCTAGGGTCCTAGTAATTATTCGAAACCTGTACGTTTCTAACAAATTGAAATAAATTTGTATTTATCTGTAACAAATTGAGTTTGTATAACTGAAAACAGTGCTGCTCAAAGGTTTGGAGTCAGTTTCAATGGTAGGGTCCATAGTTTGTATGTTAGTCTCATAGTAGTTAATGGAAAAGTCTAAGATTAATAACTAAGTAATAAAACACTGGTATAAGGACTTAAATGTATTAATTGTCCTTTAAGAGTTGCTGTGCTTCTCTAACAGCCGCTTTGGTTGTTCTCTCTAACAGAATCTGCCAGAGATCATCCTGATATCATGTGACAATGACTTGCATCTGTGTCGCGAATACTTTCTGAAGAACATCGGTAAGAAAGCCTTCCACTGTTTTCGTACTTCACTAGTAGCTAGTTTTTATATGAGCCGACTGACTGAGCAGGTGAAAGTAGAGCTGCATCATATGGATAAAATTCTAATATTGCCGTAACTTGTCAGGCATTGACAATCCACTGAATCAGTAAGGTGACCTGGTTAAATGTGTCCTGCAAAATATTTGACTTTCTTTGGATTGCATGGATACAGTGACTGCAGGTTTTCATGCCAACCACACAGGAGCACCTCATATAACTAATCAGCTGAGACCAACTGATTAAACAAGTGGAATCAGATGTGCTTCTGCTTGATTGGAATGAAAGCCTGCAGCCACACCAGCCCTCTGTGGATAAGATTGGTGACCCCTGCTTTGATTTATCAGAAACCCCACAGAAACACTCGTCTGGAACTATGACTGGACAAGAAACTGGAAGTTCTTAACTTCTGTAGTTCAGCATTGGGAATATGTTGAGATCCATGTTGCTAATCCATGTCTGTCTTTGTTTTTTAAAGATGTGCACAATGCTGAGTTCATTCTAACAGGAGTGCTGACTCAAACCTTGGATTACAAATCATATCCTTTTCACTGAGCTTGGTGGGGAGAACAGCATTCATTTCTGCTGTTCATTGATTTCTTGGACTGTAGTAGCTACGGGTGCATCATGTATCAGAGACAAGTATATTAATAATATTTTGGTGCGTTAGCATTATTGTGATAAATTACATCTTGACAGGCTTTTCTGAGCACATCATGGATATCTTCAGTACTTCCAGAACACTGAACAGCTGCACACCATAAAGGACTTGGACCAATTAGAGAGCCTGTATACACCAACAGTCAGTGTATAACACCTGCATAAAGTGCATAATAATAAGCAGCTGATTGGATGTCAGCCTTTTAATCTTTTTATTTTACCAGTAGGTCTATCACTAATTATTGCTTTTCTGCAAATGTGGAATTGAAAACAAAAAATACTCATTTTTTTCATAACCTTTTTTAAAAGTGGCACTGCTGTTTTACTGGTGCATTTTTTTTCTGGTCCCAGCTGTTCACAAAAAAGAAATATCATGGTACATATTGTGTACTGTAAAAATGTTTCTCAAGTGTCGTGATGTTATTTTTAAAATATCACCCAATTTTATGTTCACCTACCCCTGTAGGTCAGGCTGGATAAGAGAGTTAAAAATAACTGAAATAATGTCACCAAAGTTTAAAAAAGTCCAGGTTTGCAGTGTTATGGCTATGTTAATCAGTGTCCATATTTCTGACTGTTTATCATAACCTGTTTTATGCTTACTGCACTTCATATAGTGATTTATAGTGTGCTTGCTTTAAAATTGGGGCAAAAGTAGTATGGTTTCAGTAGTGAGAAAAATAGTAATAATAATATATCACAATCCTTCTATACACAATATGCATCACAATATATATTTTGATGAGTTGGAACAGACAATTATTACTATTACTTATTACATAAATATCAATAAATATTTATATTCAGCGTTTTACACACCGCACTTCACTAAATCAAATTAAAAAGGACTAAACACTCACTTAATGAAGCCAACCATGCAGTTGGTCACTGTTCTTTAAATACGGACAGTATCCACAGTCTGCTCAGAAAAGCGTGGTGTAGTTTATCACGCTAATGTTAAACGTCATCACTATTACATATCAAAAGCAGCAACAACAGTGTTAATTATCAGCTATCGATATTCATCCAGAACGTCCATCCACAGTAGTGCCCCTATTACACTGATATCATTTCTGATATTTCCACAGGGCGTCTGTGGATCCTTAGAGTCTTAATTTATCTGAAATTGCATGACATTTTGCAAATGAAAAGTCTCAGGTGTTATTAAATTCAAATTTATGTGGTCTTAGGTTTTAGGAGACAGACAGTTGTAAATTGATTTTTACAACAAAGTTACTTTCAAGAGTTTTGTATTTAATACAGTCGTATGCAAAAGTTTGGGCACCCTGGGTCAAATAACATTGTACAATATACAAGTTCACACATCCTCAACAGAGAACACACTTCTGCACATTATAATGCACAATTACTGTTTATTCGCTTAATTTAACATATTGGGGAGAAAAAAAAATTAAATGTGGAATGTGCAAAAGTTGCGACACTTTTTATATATATATATATATATATATATATATATATATATATATATATATATATCGCTGCTGTTGGAACAAAATCTTGTATCTCCAAAATAGTAACTTGGTAACACATACTTTTAATGTAAGTTAGTGGAACCAGACTTTTTTCCAAGTAATTTTGGGCCGTTTCTTTGGTCCATAAAGTCATAAAATTTACAAACAGTGTTTTCAGATTATGCTAAAAACTGAAAATGCCAAAAATGGAAATACAAGTTTTAGTTCCAACAGCAGCGATATGTTAAACTAGAAATTGTGCTCTAAAATCAGCAGAAAATGGCATATTTAAGTGTGTTTCCTGTGGAGGTCAGAGGATAGATAAAGGGCGTTTAAACTTTTGCATACATTTGTGCAAATGTGATTATATCAGAAGTGGTGTTGCGTCTTAAAAGCATAACTTGAGGACATCTGTTTCCAGCATTGCTGACCTTAACAATCACACATATAAATTCACATGAGGTCATCCTCGTGAGGATCTGAGGGAAGAAAACACTACGTTCTCTCTACTGGTGCCTCCGCTGGGTCGACTCTGAAGGTTACTTGTTATTTTTAAGGAATCACAGATTAAAAATACAGTTGTTTATTTGCATTGATTTTTATATTGTTCAAATCATTTGTTATTGTTTTTGTAGACATTACAGTTGGGGGGGAAAAAAATAATAAATTGCTGTTATTTTTAAATCGTTGTTTAAATTATGCCATATCGTCCCGTTTGTTTTTACTGTAATGTTAACGTCTTTACCTTTTGGAATAAAAATCTCAAAAGATTGTGAACATTGTTGTGCGATCTGGAATTTCCAGTAGCGAATAAACCCTTTGTGCTTTGTGACATATGCAACATATAATACACACTTATATTATTTCCAACAGCCATTGCGTTGAGGCAGCCTGTCAGCTCGAGTTACTACAGACTATATTTATGATGGGCTTTTGATCATCTCATCTCCTCTTGGTGGGGCTCGTGGAGGAGACCGCGGTGGAGTGTGCGCTATCATCTACTCTTAAAAGCGGTATTCCTGATAGACGGAATTCAATTAATTGTTAATGAAGTGTCACGGGTACTTACCGGTAGAAGGCAATTGTGTGCTGTCAGCCAGTTTAGCCCGGGGTGCTCCCCGCGCCCCTGCGCTGGGGTGCGGGGAAGAGCCCCTGGTAGTGCCCTCTAAAAACAGATAAATTAAAACTCGCCCAGCCAAGGTCATGTACCAGAAATGCTACCGGAAGAGTGATCCTGTAACAGAGGCGTTTTGAGCACGTTCTCTAAAATGGTGTTGAATGTGCATGGACTTTGTTTGGAGGGGAACTCCACCAATATATATGCAGGGTGTTCCAAAAAGATTCATCCGATTTCAAAATGATTTATTTCACTTGTGAATCATTACAGAACAATGCAGTAAATACAACTGTAAATGGTTTAAATGAGCATAAAGTTTATGTAATTTTACAAGGGCTCAATATGAACCTCCTCCAGCTGTATGAACAACATCAACGCCATAGTCAGATTCATCCCACACTCGATTGAGCATGTCGGGTATCACTGTACTCATCTTTTTGAATCACCCTAAATTTTTTTAAATGCATATAAACTGTAAAGGAAGTCATTCAGAGTGGTTTGATGTGACCCCTGGTTCCTATCACCACCACTGTAAAGAATCCAGAGTCTGTCCAGACCACCACATCACCATGCTGAAGTGTCAAAAATCCATCACTTTCATATGTGGCCTTAGATCGGTTACATATCTCTTAGATGGGGGGAAAACCGTGTTTTTTTCCTTTTTTACCCCCATCATTCAGTGCTAAACTTGGAGTCACTCACTATGGTGAACGTGAAGTTAATAGTGGGCTGTATATTTGTTCATCTGCTACACCGTTAGAAAATATTTCTGAGTTATGAGTTTGGTCAGAACCGTTACACCACAAATAAGTGCAGATAACGCAACGTACAAACAGTGCAAACAATGCTAATGTTATTCCCTTTAGCTGGGGGACAATGAAAAGACCCCAGATCACCTCCTGCTGTCTAGTTCTTTGCATTTGAAGTCGTTTGCTTTGTTTTCAAAGGAATAGATGGTCTTTTGAAGTTAGCTTCGCCCTAACATGGACTCCAGACCGATGAGGCTCGGCTGATGGTATTAGACAGCGTCACCGTCTCCCAGCCTTGTCTGCGCCGCAACAAGCTGTAGAGCTGCTAGTACTGATGGCATGAATGACGTTGGCTTCATATTAGAATTTCCTGTTATTTCCGTAAATGGTGCAGCAGTGACATTCAAACGTCTGTCCAGGCTCTAGAAAATAGTTGCTCTATTTAAGGTGAAACAGAAAATCCAAATAAAAACCCAAAGTCAGCTTTGGAAAATTTCAGATCAACATTTCGCACCATTTTGCCAGAAAGCGATACCGACGTAGGTTAATGTATACATTGTTTTGTTTTTACTGTTTAGCACAATAGAAAGGTTTACTTTGGTTGGTTCTAATTAAAAAAGTGAGTAGAATACTGAATCCAAAAAAAAGATAGCTGTTGTAGTTGTATATTAAAATTGTTAATTTTATATATATATTTTTTTTACAGCCATTAGTTTCTGTTCAGATGGCATAATATGAAATATTGTCACATTCTAGTAAGTTAAAACAAACAGGCCTTCATATATAATAATTCCAAGAGATTGTTTGACCCTTTTGTTAAGACAACAGGAAAATCAGAATTGGCCAACGTAGCGGATCATTGCTGTTTTCCGCAGCTTGACTAGATTCATACCTAATTGTCACCTAATTGACACGCTGCTTAATTGCAATTAAAAATGCAAATTATGGACCAGATCTTTGATTAACGTGCACAAGTTCCTTGTTGGTTTGTGGACGTCCTCAAAGATTTGTGCTGTTGATGCTCTCCTGCAATAAAACATCGGGAGACGCCGTAATTAACCTTAAACGCTAAGACGGATGTGTATTTTAATTAACGTTTTTTTTTCCCCCCTCTGTTCTCCACAGCATTGCAGCATTTGGACTCTTAACTTCTTACTGGTAAATGTGTTACAATATACAAATTACATGCTAATTAGAAAGAACAATGCTTTGGGATTCCCTGATTCTTAAATTTGCATATGCGCTAATTAGCCTTCATTAAAGAGCTGGCTAATTACTAATTTCATGAAGACAAAATTAACGATGACATAGCAGCGCTTTGTGTGGACAGAGCCGAGTTGTTTAGCTTTTTTTCACATGGGCTGCCGCAAGTTAATGATTAGAAAGCGGTTATCCACAGTAAATGACCACATACATTAAAAAAATGATCAATACAATATAGATTTTTTTTAATAACTCTGGCCTATTAGCATGTTTTTCTAATGCCGTGCATTTAAATCGCGCTAATTAAACCTGCTTTCTCAATGCAGAACATCGAAACCAATGGTAATGATGTACATACATATGAGCAATTAAATGAATTATGTAAAACTAAATCGAGCTCGCTGAAAAAAGAGGAAGGAAAAAAGTAACGGCTGACACGGAGGAAGGAGAAATCCAAATTAATAGACGTGCCAATCATTTGTCTCAAAGGGATTTTGCTGTCCATATACATTAAAAAGGTATACGAGTCTTACATCAATCTGATGATAATTGCTTTTGTGTCTGGTTAGATGAGCGAACTGCTAAGGGGCAAAGACCTGTTTCTTAAACAGGCTTCTTTAAACCCATTTTTAAAGACTTTTGTTTAAGGCGCTTATCAAAGACACCCACTGCAGTGTACTCCTGATATCTCAATATGGTCTCTTGAAATTGTTAGTTAAAATGTGGTAATAGGGTTCCGGCTCTGCCGTGGCAGTAATGAAGGCTTTGGTGGTGATTTTCCAGGGTTAAATGTATGAATTCGTCACGGTATCTTAAAGCTGCAGGGGGTGGGATTTATATGCTAACGTGGTATTGGCCTGTGGTCATACAGTACAGCTATTCAAATAACTGCCATTTGTCACATCAGCGCATTGTTTCCGAAGTAGATTCTCGTAAGCGATGTCCCAGATCATCTTTCGGCAAATTTATGAAAATAATAAAAATAGAAAAACAGCCAATATGTGGTTGCAAGCTTATTAGCCTCACATTTACAATGAAACTGTCACAGGCATGGTCCCCCTCTTGTCACTGGGGTGGGACCCTCAAGGGTCCATCTCAGTACCTTTAGTCAGGGAACATAACTGAACCATAATCCACTGAAATGATATGTTCTAAGCTGTACTGACTCCACACACCCCGTCTCGTCTCCAGGCTTTTATTTTACTGTTCTGTTTTAAAAAATTCGGTTATGAAAAGGTACAAATACGAACTTTTCACCTGGAAAAACTCATTTAAGGTTCACAATCAGACCTTAAAACCACTGTTGTACCTTTGAGGGAACATTTACATTGTTTGTACCTTGATAATTGGAAAATGTACCAGCACAGAACCTTTATTTCAAAGTGTATAAGGTGTTTTTTAAGTATTTATTTAGGGACAATCACCTAAATGACTTAACATGCTAAATGCTAACTACATAACATGTGACGGTCTACTATTCTATGGAGTTAATTATCACATTTGATTGAAAATATGAAATAAGAGCCGTTAGCCTTTAGTGAATTGGCTCCCAGGTGTTTACTGTGAGACCTGCAAGTAAGTGCTGCCCTCTGTTGGATCTTTTTGGAAAAGCAGCTCATTGTTGATGGAAATACCTCTAATACTTCTGTGTCATCAGCAGTTTGGTCAAGAATGAGCATTCTGAAGGGTTTTCTGAGTGGCAGCGGCATTGAGCTTGTTTCTCAGAGGAATGTATTCATTTTATTTTTCATTACATTTTTTGTCGGACAAAAAGAAAGCCGCCCACGTCAGTCGTGTTGCAAACATGCTACTCTGAAATGTATGGCATGAAGAAATGTCGGCTTTCAAGGAAACAGTACTAAAGCAGACAGCCCTTTATTCCATAAACACCATTTGACAAGCTTTCCTTTGCAGCTTTTATACACGTTATACAGTTTTACAAAACCAGAGAAAATATTTACAGCATTTCTTTGTGCAAACATGATATTCTTTAGGATGAAATATGTAAAAGGCATGCATAGGAGTAAAACTTTGGCCAGATGCAAACAGAAATGCCTCTTATTACACAAATATGCACTTTTAGTCATTTTGACACAATGCAATAATAATGAGTTATCTAAGCTACCTTATAGATACCTTATCACTATCAAACATCACGCACACTCACTCTACACAGCCTTTAACATTATGTATAGTCTTTTAATGAACACAACAACTTTGGTATTGTAGTGAAACACTTCAAAAAAAAAAAAAAAAAAACAGGCCACTTAGGATCGACCCGTATAGATGTTAGTTAAAACCTGCATTTTAATGAAACCCAAGCAAAAGTTAAACCACCTTAAATGCTAAACCGGCAGTTTGAGAATGAGAACTTAATTTATACCAAGAAAGTTATTCTATGGTTAGATATCTACCTGGCAACTTAAAATAGATGAAAATATACTCTTATTCATCTATTTTCCATTTTCAAAAATATTTTTGTACACGTTTGTCAGTATAACGATATAATAATTCTCACACTTCTATAAAAAATAAATCAATTCAAACTGATCCCTCATGTTAAAAAAAAACACCTGTTATTCAGAAGCACCGTATCTAGCACTAGATCTAGAGTTAACTCTTGTGGTTATGCTGCAAGCAAGCAAAATTGAATTACTAAATTCAGTAGTGCACAAATACAACACTGACGGAAAGACCGCAACTCCAAACGTTTTAATCGGCTGTCAATGGCGCATACGCTGCCCCTCAAAAGTTTGGGGACACCTAGCTTTTCAAACACTTGCTTTGTCAGGTTGGAATTACATAACACAAACACCATGCAGGTTTATTTTTGGGGGGAACGATTTCGAACAAATATTAGTGATGGTGTTACACTGGGAATTGTATTAAAAACATGCATTTCATGTACTGTTTGTATATAAACCATTCAATATTTTTAACAGTAGTTTGGAGAACAATTATTAGGCAAAACCTACTCTTGATGAACAGCAAATATCTGCTTTTTGCTAACAAAACCTTTGCATATTTTTTGTTTTTACTCAAATGAAAAGTAGTCTTGCAAGCCAGATTATCAAGAGTGCACTTCGTCTCCTAAAATGGCCAAGAACGGCCTACTTTGACACAAAATCCATTTGTGTCATATGCAAAATAACCAACCATATACCGCATTACATGTAGGGGCATGTGATTTTGAAAACAGGGCGACGACCAAAACCAACCCAAAGGAAATGTGTCGGTACGCTTGTGAGGATACCTTAATTAAAAGCTGCTAAACGCTTCTAATAAAACTCAAATAACTTTTACAGATGTAATGCCATGAACTTCACAAACTTTTTTCAAACACACTACTTCATGTTGCTCTGAAAGGCTCAGTCATGCCACACAGAGCGAGTAACTACTTAGATTTGTTTCCCATTGGACTGGGAACCATTTGGACAAGTAGTCGTGTGGATAGCCAATCAGAATGAACTGACAAAATTCTGGAAGTTGTGGCCAGCTGCTGTCATGTAATACATAACACTCTGTTTAGATGGAGATGGAGTGTCTGGGACTGAGACTAACTGAAAAGTAACTGTGAAAATCAAAGTACTTTAAAATATTCAAAAGAAGGCAAGGTGTCCTCAAACTGTTGACAAGCAGTGTATTCTATGACAGATATACACACCCCCAAAACGACGACTCATAAAGAAGGAAAACAAGCAGAGAAATATATATAGAGAGTAGAAAGAGATGAAAGGCTTATGCCATGTCCTTTGAGGTTGACGCTGGTGTGATAATGGGCAGGCCGCTGGTGGTGCCAGGCTGCGGTCTCGGACTGCTGAAGCCAGGGACGTGTGGGGCCCGGCTGGCCCGGCTCAAGGTGGTGGGGGAGAGGAGAGAGGGGGAGGAGGGCGATGAGGAAGATGAAGTGGAGGTGGGAGACACTGAGGAAGAGGAGGAGTGGGACGAGGATGAGGAAGAGGAGGAGTAGTAGCTGGATTGGGTGCCATGGGTTTGGGCGGAGAGCGATAAGCCATAACCTTTGGCCCACTGTGAAGGGCCAGGGACTCGCAGGGACTCGTTAGAGGTTGGGGCTGGGCCTGTGGCCAGGCCGGCTCAGGCTAAGACACGGGATAGAGGACTTGGAGCAGGCAGAGAGGTGATTAGTAGGCTTAGACGCATTTGAGAAAGGAGTGGATGCAGAGCTGCTTTTCCCCGAGCTAGGACAAAAGGCTGGGATCTTAGAAGCAGGCAAAGCAAGGAAAGCATGTTTACTATTCCCGCGAGCTGCGATAGCACTCCCGTTAGCCTGCGAACAGAGACGCCGGAAGACACGCAGTGTCAAGCAAGCATGGAGTGTAAAGATCTATATAAATACTTAGCAGTAATACATCAACAAAAATACTTGTCCTCTTTCGAGAAATGAAGGTAGAAGAGTTTGTGTAATTGCATGTTTTACTTTTAAAAACAGCACTTCAAGAAAAGCAAGAAGAAGAACTTTGGCACTGCATAATACAGGAGCTGGCACAACACTTCCAAGTCAACCCATTTTTGTATTGGTAACTATAAGCCACTCCCTCACCCCACACACACACATCAGTGCCCTTTGATGTTAGTGGGGGTTGTCCATTGTGATGGCCATGCCTGAGGTTACAACAGATGGGAAACAGGGATGGTTTAAGGTGAGATGTGTAGGGGAAGAATTGTAACCAGAGAGACGGAGGAAACGAGACATCACAGCTGATCCACGCAGGTCCACTCAACAAAAAACAGTCACAGATTCACAGTCTACAACGCGCCATGGAACATCACGTGTCTGCATCTTTTGGCCATGAGAATGGAAGTCTCTCACACAGGCTGCTACAGTAAAACTACCTGTCGGAATTGCCTCTGGGAGTCCTGGATCTTTTGGGGTTTGCCGGGTTTCTCCGCACTCCCTGCTTGCTGACGGGATCTAGGTGAGGAAATCCGACTCGAGGAAGGTGAGCCACTGGTGTTCTGCAAGAAAGAAAATCACAAGTGAATAAAGTCTGAGATGAGCTGAAGTTGAACAACCGAAGTACGACAGAGTGAGCATAGTTGTAAGATTTGTAAGATCTCTGAGTTGGTGGTAAGATTCTTTAGCCCAGGAAAGTACAGCCAAGCATGCTTCAGTAAACCAACATTTTCCCCAACACAACATGCACAGAAAAGTCATTAATTACACAAGGATCAGAGCCAGTCATTTGGATAGAGAAAAACCTTCACCGCCTCGGACTTGCAGCCAAAGCGAAGTGGTAAAGACAAGGACAGCAAGTCCGTCAAGACACCTCACTCCACAAATCATGGCAACTGAAAAATCACACACAGGACAAAGCAGAGAGGGTGCCCAACTGTGAATTTCTCCTGCAGGCACCTACAGAACACATTCACGACGGATTAAAGTCAGTGGTTAGAGCGGCAAACCGTCAGACTAACCCAAGCCACCAACGGGAGTGGAGAGGAGCTGAAGAGAGAGACCTGTTTAGTGCCGCTGGAGCTGGAAGAGCTGGAGGAAGAGGATCGAGGAGTGGACTGTGCTTTGGCCTTCTTTCGTTGAGGAGATTTTAGGGGCTTTGGCGCCTGAGGAGTCGCCCTCTTCGAGGGACTTCCTTCACCCTGCACCGTTTGAACAGCAGTTCTCTTGGTCTTCGATTCTTTACGTAAAGTTTCTGGGGATAGTGCAGGGTCCATGTCACTGATGGTGGTTTCCAGTTGCTTAATGGTTTCCTCTAGGCTGTCTAAGGTTTTGTAAGTTGTTTTACAGATGTCGTTAGTCCTACCTTTAGAGGTTGGAGGACTTTCAGAGGTGATGGTACTGTTAGACTCTGCCTGGGCTCTGATTTCAAACCTCTTGGCTTCTCTTGCTTGCTTCACCGTACCATCTGGTTCCTCTTCATCTTCGTAAACCACAACCTGCAGGGTCTTTTTGCCTGTTTTAGTTCCAGTGCGGAGGGCTTGTCCGATAGCCGCTAGCTGCTTCTTGGGGAACTTTAACTTAAATTTCTTTTTACTGTCTTGCTTTGCATCACCAGGTGGATCTATTTTTGATCCATCCTCTGACTCGGGGGAAGAGCACTCTGTGGGGTTCTGCTCTTGCCCAGACAGTGGGAGATGATTCCCACTACCACTGCCATCTGCTTTTCTTTCTGCCCTGCACTCATCTGCTCCCCCAGTCTTCGTCATTACCTGTCCTGTCCTCTGCGAATATGCCTCCTCTTCCTCTGCCTCCTCAGTCTCCTCATCAATGGGTTCCTCCGCGAGCATCTTGTCCAGCTCCTCCTCACACTCGAAGATAGTGGACAGACGCTTGTATGCCTGCCGAATGTCCATAGGCTCATCAAAGAAGATGATCACAGGTTTCTTACTAAACCCACCATCCTCTGGGGCAGACGCAGTCGTGTCTGTTCCCACTTTAACAGTTTCAACGTCTTGGCCTTTGGAGCTAACCAGCTGCTGGTACTCTCCATCGGACAGAGCCTTCACTTTGGTTTTAGTGATCATGAATGCAATGTTGTCAGGTGGAGGTGGAGGTGGAGCTTCCTCTCCAGGAAGGTCAGGACTTAAGCTGGCATCCTCGGAGTACCTGGCCCGGCCTCTAGATGACCTCATCACCACCTGTTGCTCATTCTCATGGCACTCATTCTCCTCCAGCATCACTGAGACTTCGGATACCCCTTGAGAGCCAGCCGTCAGCACCTCAAATCCAACAGTGGAAGATTTCTCAGTGACAATCAGGTTTTCAGAAGTTGAAACCACTTGCTTTTCTGGCCTATTTGTGATATTCTCAGCCGACTGCCCTTTTGGAACTGCATCATCCTCAGTTCTGCAGGTATCCTCAAGAAGACTAACAGATATCCGCTGATTATCATTTGACTCCTTCTGGCCTTCCTCCAATGATTTAGGAACATCTAAAGTGAAGTCATGTGATGTTAGTATGTTTGGCCGTGGGGAAAAGTCAGAAGCATTCAGATTTGCCACCTTTGAGGGGGAAACGATTCCTTCCCCGGACTCTTTTTGGACTTCAGGTTCTTTAGGGAGATTGTCGCTGGGTATCTTTGCTGTTCCAGTGATGTAATACATGACCTGATAAAGAGAGGGATTGTTGTTTTAAGATAATGTTACTCAGCTTAAATAGACACTGGAAGATATTAGAGCAAATGAAGACAAAAATGTTTTACCCCAGAGCCAGATGAAGCATTGAGAGTGTGTTTTCCATCTTCGGAGTGGTGAGCTGTGTTCTAACATTTTTAAAGAACAGCATGAAAAATGCAATATTTCACATTGAGCATCAGTATATACATTCATATACATTAATTTACAACAGATAATTGGCGCCATCTAGAGATGTCTTTGATTAAATACTCTGCATTGCTTAAGTGCTTCTATGTAGATGATGTATACAATGAATTGATTTACACCAAGTTACATGCATTGAACAAATATAACAGCTTGTCATTTTGTCAGATTTTATGCTTAAGCCTCAGGCAATCTCATGCAAAATATTAAAGACTTTTATTTCAATATGGAGGATAAAATGTTTGTCAGTTTTTCATCAGGCACTGCAGGGAGTCCTAATAGAAATATGTAGGTTAGCAAAAAGAGTGAATTGCATCCGTATTCCTGGGAGGACCTAGAGATCGGGATTAGGTACATGCAGTTAAAAGCCTATGAACAGACTGGGACACAAACAAGGTCTTGAAACAGAAATGTACCTTACATCAACGTTAAACCAAGATGTTTTAAGAATGATTCATAACCTGGATGTTCCCATAGTTATATGAGATCCTCAATAATTGTCAAACTGAACACAGCATGTTGACATCTTCCAAGCTGTCTTCAGACTTATGGACACAGTGGGTCAGATTCTCAGACAGGGAGTTAAGTCTCGTCTTGGACGACATTTTCCTTTCAGTGGAGAATCTCTATTCTAAATGCTGCATAGTCCAGGAATAGGCTTAATCCCGATATATTTATGATTGTCTTTGCCCTCACATATTTCTTCAAAATGGACTGTAGTGAACAGCCTTTGCCGTTGACCTGTGCAACCCTCCCCACCCCATCTCTCCACACCCCATCTTTCCATCCTGCTTCTCCATCCTGCCTCGGCCTAAACTTCTGTCCCTCCTGGATTCTAGTAGCAGGTATGTGAGTGTCAAAGCAAGGTTAGACGCAAACACGGGTCTCTCTGGAGCACTGCAGCCACTCAACCATGGTTAAAGCCAAATGGAAGCCGGATGTTAGTAACAGCAGTTAAAAGGGCAAAAATGCCCATGAGGGGTGCTGGCATTACAGCAGGGTTTAGCTAGGTGACACTGCAGGGTGTTGGTTACCTTCGGGTCGTATGAGGAGACAGAGAACGCTGCCTCAGTGTCTGGGAGTTCGTGGGTGGTCAGATCAACCACATATCGGGGCTCTAAATCTTTAACTGGGCACTTCTCAAACACCTGGATCAGAGTGCATGCAGATTAGACATGAACAGGGCCAGGGAGATGGATCTGCACTTGTAATTTGCCACAATGTTAGATTAGTGGTCTAAATCTTATGAACAATGAGATATTATAGACCAATCAAACAATAACCCGTACCAACCCTTAATCTTTTAAAGATATGCTGCTGGTAAGGTGGAACAAAAGTTTGGTCCCATATAAGACTGGGAATCAGTGTGTTGAATCCTGGGTTAAGGCTGTATCTAACGGTAAACCCTCATCTACACCACTAGCCAATCTTTTAAAATAGCTGTAACTTTGTAAAAACAAACAAAATGTTGAAAGATAATGAACAGTAACACGTTTGGCTTTGATTAATTGTACGTAGCAATTGTGTTCACTAAAGTACAGTGCGTTCCAGACGATTTTGGCCACAATTGTCCTGTTGAAGATACATTTTTGGGATCTGCAACATAATCTTGATGTTTTCAAGTATATTTGAAATTCTCAGCAATCAATTTTCCACCTTTAGCACCTCTACGACAATAGTTAGCTGCATTCTGCAATGTCATTCACATACTAGAATCTCCGGAATCTAAGCTGTTTTATTCAATTGGAAAAAATGAATGCCATTTTTTTTACATTCTCACCCTGTAGTAAACAAAAATGTTTCAAACCTGATACATTTTGTCCTGTGTATATTTTCCCCCCAGCGTCACTGTATCCTCTGAAATACAAGGCCGTTTATCATTCCAAATTAAAATAATGCTACAAGGAAGCTAACACTCTTGCACATTGCATTGACTCTGTTTGAAAGTATTATTAATTCGTAAGTGCCATCAAGTCGATTCCTGGCAACCATATGGAAAGGGTTTCTCCAGAATATCTGGAGTCCTCTGTTTGGGTCTTTATCTTTTTCACAATGGTCTTGATTTGGATGAGGAGCCATTTCATTGGCACTCTCAAAAGTCTTTGCCAAAAGTTCAAAGTCATCAATATTTGTCCTGCTTCGCTTGTTTATTGTCCAGCTTTCACATCCATAAAGAACTACAGAGAAGACCACAGCCTGGTCATAGAGACAAATCGTTGTCTTTCATCATTGCATTGTTCTGCCAGGTGCCAATCTATGTTGTATTTCTCCAGCACTGGATCCTTGGCTGTTAATAATTGAGTAGTATGGAAGGTCTACTAAGAAACTTCAACAATATCACATAAAATTACAAGCAAATTGCAGCATAAAACTGCCAAAGCAACTTAACTGGCACTCTACACAACAGACAAAGCTTACTGGTTTGTGTGGGGTATTTTGGTGAGGTTGTCAGTCTTCTGATGTCAGATCAGTGTACTGCAGTGTTGGCTTGTATGTACTGCAATATTTGTACTTTGACCCCTTAACTATGTCGTAATTCAGAGGATCCAGTGATATTTGGAAGAAAAATCTATGTACAGCAAAACAAAGTGACTTTAAAACATTTTTGTTTACCTCAGGATGTGCCAGCAGCGATATTACCGAAAGCGGTATTCATTTTTCCCATAGAGAATTCATAATTCAGAGGTCTATAGACCCACAGTGTAGAGGGGGGCTATAAGGAAATTCCACCAATTTTAAAAATTTCAGCATAATTCAGTCTTTGAGATGTAAACAAGGTCATTCAGAGAGGGTTGACGGTGGTGATAGGAGCGAGAGGTCATGATGACTACAACACAAATATAGTCATTTACTATCCAAAACCACCAGTGAACCTAATTTTCTTTTTTTATGTAATCTACATGTTGGGTACATTGACAATGTTAAAATTGTGGTATATTTTTGGTGGTTATGGTTTCTTTGGTTACTGTTTTGCCTTAAAACGTCTTTTATGTACCTTTCTGCCAAGAATGCTTCTTAAAATTATGTTTTAGACTAAAACTTCACATCCAAACTATTATGTATTAAGTCTCAGGAATCGAGAAACATGTACCAATACATGTAATATTTTTTATGAGGTAGCTTTTAGAGGCGTTAAACATTTTTAATATCTGATTCAAACAACGTGAGTCTGTACGTTTCTCTAAAATGATACTTTTCTCATTAAACCACTCTGAATGACTGTTTAAATCTGACTGCTTTAATTATACAGCATTATTGAGAATTTGCAGAATTCCTAACTGTACAATTTTGAATCAAAAGTCACTGCTTGCTTCCACATATTTGCCTGAAATGTGGTCAGAGATTCAGTTGCTCTCTGATGCCACTAGAGGGCAGAACAGACAACAATATGCACAAAACTCAGTTTCAGATGATGCTGCTAGACAGTTGTTTGTGTGGAAATGTCAGCATGGGTGTGACCGTTTGAGGTTGACATGGGGCAAGCGCGTTTGTTCCAAAACACCTCTGCCCCGCCCCTGTTTCCCCACAGCGGGGTGTGTTTGTCCTCACCAATATAAACCTTACTCACACCCGTGTGTTATGTCAGCAGGTGTAGTCTTTCTGAGGGTCCTATGTGTACGTGTGCAGCAGGCGTGGCTTGGGGTTTACCCACCTGCAGCTCTGCTATGATCTTATCTTCATCTTCATCCTCCTCCTCGTCTCGGGCTGCGGAGGCGCTGATGGGGGGAGGGGTGTGGGGTTTGGGTTTGACCTCCGGGGGAACTCTTTGGGGTTTGGGCTTGGCTGCCCCCTCCTCCACCTCCTGCTGTCGAAACAACCAATCAAGCATGACGGACCCTCACTAAGAGCCCCTCAGAAACACAGGCGGCAGGAATTCCGTCCACACAAAAGACAATGTTCATCACTCCTAGAATTGGCATCAATCTGATGCACGTGAACTGCGTCATGATGTTTAGATTTTCTGACGTTTGATAAGTAAAAACAGACCAAAAAGAAGCAGCAGTGCCACATTTAGAAAACGCCATCAAAAATCAATCAATAATCAACGCAATGTCCACATCTAGTCATGTGTTAACACTAGTAGCCAAATGTGATGGTAATATAATAGAGTAGCTACACTATATGGCCAAAAGTATGTGGACAGCCCTTCTAAGTATTCAGTTCAGCTTTTCAGCCACACCCATTCCTAACAGGTGTGTAAAATCAAGAACATAGCCTTGCAATCTCCGTAGACAAACACTAGCAGTAGAATGGGTCGTACTGAAGGGCTCAATGACTTTAAACATGGCCACACCCTCACAACAAAATTTCTGCCCTGCTACATCTGCCCCTGTCCACTGTAAGTGATGTTATTGTGAAATGGAAGTGTCTAGGAGCAACAACAGCTCAGCCACAAAGCAGTAGACCACGCAAACTCATAGAGTGGGGCTGCCGAGTGCTGAAGCTGAAGTGTAAACATCACTTATCCTCTGCTTCTAGAAGCAACATCAGCACAGGAAATGGGTTTCCATGGCCGAGCAGCTCCACACAAGCCTAAGATCAATATGCGCAATGCCAAGCGACAGTGGAATCACACTGCTTTATCTGGCAGTCTGATGGACGAATCTGCTTTTGAGTCTGAGTTTGCTGAATGAAGGATAATGGGCTGGGGCTGTTTTTCAGGGTTTGGGCTCCTTAGTTCCAGTGAAGGGTGATGTTAATGCTACAGCATATAAAGATATTCAAAACAATCATATGCTTCCAACTTTGTGGCAGAAATTCGGGGAAGATCCCATAAAGCTCCATAAAGACATTGAGTTTGTTGTGGTGGAACTCCAGTGACCTGCACAGAGCCCTGACCTCAACCCCACTGAACACCTTTGGGATGAACCGTCAGTCAGACCTTGTCCAACATTAGTGCCTGACCTCAGCTCCATAACTCCTCAACTCCATATTAATTTCTATGGTTTTGCAATGGGACATTCAGCAAGCTCATATAGGTGTAATGGTCAGGTGTCAACATACATTTGGCCATAGAGTATAGCTAGTATTATAGTAGAACTTCCTTTTGTTGAATAGACATTTTTTGTAAACCTATTAAAGAACAGCCATGGTTCTGTATAAGTCTTGCTGGCTATGGATTTCTTCCTGTAGGACAGTAGGATGTTTGAGCAGGGTACTAATAGTGAAAGACTTCTATTAAAAACGTCTCATTCTAAAGTTTTTAATTTTTAATATAACTGAGTACTGAGTAAGGATTGATGAGATGAAAAAAAATGACAAACATCTAAAGCCAGGCATACACTGTGCGATTTTAGCCCAAATTTTAGCTTCACTGGCCGTCGTTTGCCGTGCAGCGTGAAAGGAGAAACGATGCCCGATTAACTGCCCAAATGAGCTCCGATGGAGGAATCCGACGATCGGATGGATTTCTGACAATTTTGGTTGCTTGTCTCACAGTCTGAACAGCCTCACGAACCGATTTCTCAAAGTCGCACACATAATCACAACCACTGCTCCTGCATGGCGGCAAAAAAAGTCTACATTTGCGGCACCAGCGTCCGTATATGACAACTTTGCTTCGTTTGACTGAGTTGAATCATGAGGTATAAATAAATACAGTGATGTTTTGTCTTCGTACAGCTGCTTCAGTGCACTGTGGCACAAGTTAGCAAAGCTGTTGCAGCATTTGGCAGTGGCTGAATCTCAAACAGCCCCTCCTTCCTATGTAGTGCACTGGCTTCTTCACCAAAATAGTGCACTGTTTGTCCAGGATGGAACTGTGCACACATGGCTGAATCGCACAAGGCTATTTATTAGACATGTGATGCACTTTCTGAATGGAGGAGCCACTATTTGATATGTGGTGCACTATGTAGGGAGCAGGGAGCCTTTTGAGATTCAGCCAGTGTCTTGTTGACGGAGCGTCTGTAGTAGCTGTGTTTCACGTGCAGTGTGAGCACCCATGTCATGTCATGTGAGTCAGACTGGGTGTTTTCGTACAGTGTGAGCACATAAATCGCAGGCTTTGGCCGTACACGATGGGTGATTCAAATGTTCAATGTGAGTTGTCACCAAAGAACAAGATTTCTGAAATGCCTGGCTTAAACGAACAAGATAAATCACTAAATCAACCAACCAGGTATGGATCACCTCTTATCCTAACTGCATGCAACAAATGGTAAACCTTCTGTGTTTACGTTTTTATTACTAAAATAGAAAATAATAATAAAATAAATATTTTTGTTGATATTTGAAAACTATCAGTCACAAATTCAATATTCAAACAATAAAAATGGTTAAAATTCCTATCCATGTTAGTGAGAGTGGCACACCCCAATGCCTGAATTACTAAGACAGCAATGCTGATCAGTGATGGATCAGTGATGTGCTGTCCTGGCTAAGAGTTTCTCACAATTATAACAATCGCAAGAGTCTGTTTGTCGGAAAGGTGTTTGGGAATGTTGCTCAACTAGCTCTAAAACACACGTACGCACTCTTGCGTACCTGAGCAGGGGCGGATTCCTTGCGGGTGGTATAGATGACCTCTCCGGAGCGTCCGGTTGTAAGCCCGGTGCCCTGAGGGTAGAATCTGCGAGGCGGGGGAGGAGGAGGGGACTTGCTGGCTGTTTCAGTGCCGGGCTTGGCTCTGTCAACACTGGCTCTGTGAGGTTTCTCCACAGGAGGCTTCTGGAGCTTCTCTGCGCTGGTCTGGACTGGTTTTTCTGCAACAGGTTCTGCTGGTGCGGTGGCATCTGCGTGCAGACGTACAAACAGAAACAAAGATCAAAGAGCACACTCGGATGCATGACAAAGGTGGAGGCGCACAAGGTAGTGTCTAGGATGGACTGTCAAACCTAGAAATCACTCAGCAGGAAATAAACTGTAAACGGAAATGAACTCCTTCTTTAAGTGTTTTCTCTCTTAAAGCAATGGTTCCAGTGAGAAATCACGTTTAGTTTTAGACTAATTGTTTGATGTCTGATGTTTGCTTATTTAGTTTTGAGCTGAAGCTACAAGGCTAATGTAGGTAAGTAATGGAAGCGACCACTTCAGGGTCGTGCAAACTGTGTCCTAAATCATCACAAACTGTACTGAGTTGTTAAGTAATTTCAAATAGACCTGCTTATGTTTTCTGACCCTGTTATTGATAAAAATGCATGTCACACAGTTAAAAAGAGAAGTAGTAGCCATCTTAAAGGAATTCGCCCATTTTTTGTGCATAATTCAGTGGTTAAGGCATAAATAAGGTCATTAAGAGTGTTTTGAGGTGTAATCGTTCTTTGTAGAGAAACGTACTGAGATTTCTTTATAGTGGTGGTGATAGGAACCAGGAGTCGCCATGACTACAACACAAATATAGCCATTTTATTTACTATCCAAAATGATCAGTGATCCTACGCGTCGTTTTGAGTTTTATATGTAATGTTGATGATTGTAAAATCAAAAATTGTTTTCTTTGTTGACTGTGTTGCCTTACAATACACTGCCTATCATAAAACAAGGTCTCAGACATCAGGCAGCATATCCAAAACCGTTTCATGTAATATCTTTCTGTGAGGGAGCTTTAAGAGGCATGCACTTCAGACATCTGGTCCCTCTTTAAAGACTGAATTTTAACTTTACACCTCCTCCAGGCAAGTGTGTGATGATTGAGGCCTGCAGTTTGCACAGTGCTCATTGGTGGGGGATGAGTTTTCATTACTTGCTACATTAACCCCTTAAAATCCCAGGCTTATTACATACTAAGACTTATAATTCAGTAACTACAGAGACTTCAGTGCAAACTGGTGCAGCTTTTCTTAGGTTATAGAATTGTGAAATAAAACTTTGGGCCCTGTTTATTTAAGGGGACAAAGAATTCAAGGAGTTTATCTCAAAGTTACAGTGCAAAACTTCGGACACCAAACTTGGCTGACCTGCTACATTTGTGGTAAGAGGACAATTCTGAGTAAATGTGACTTTTGCTGGATTATTACTTTAACTTTACAATTGGTGGCAAACGCCAGTAATTAAAGGCATGCATCAGCGAAAAATCTAATTTACATAATTTTCCACTTTGGATGTAATCATCAGACAAGGCATGCTTGGTGGTAATTAGTTTAGTTTAAAACTGTAGCTGCAAGACTAACATTGCTAACAGGCACTAGAAGCAAAATTAGCTTTTTAGTTTAAAACTGGAGCTACGAGGCTAACAATGCTAACAAACACTAGAAGCCAACAGTCACCCAAACCTTTTCTGTTAATACATCTCCAAAACTTGTTTCAACCTTTTCCCCATGTCATCTGAAGCATCCATATGCCTGCATTTCATTTTGACCAGTCTGTGCGACCTTAATAAAGACCTAGATGTGGTTTGAGCAGGTTAAGAGAGGTTTTGAGGGAGTATTTATTTATAGTGTTTTTTAGCAAAATCAGCCTTGTAGCTATAAAGAAGCAGAATTTGGACCCCAAATATGTCTTGGCTGATTGGCTACATTTAGGGTAAGTGGAAAATTGTGTCAACTCGATTTTTCTCCAAAGCATAAGTAAGAAAAATGAATTTTAGGAAGCTTCAAAACAGGGTGAAAAACCTCCTGACCTCCGCAGTGGACATATCTCTCAGGAGGACATACCTGGGAGTGGAGCTGGAGGCTGAGGGCAGTCCACTTCATCCGGCAGAATATTAGAGGCCGATGGGTTTGTAGTAGCGCTGTCCTCCCGTGTGGTCACCTCCAGGTCAGGAATGGCCTTCATGAGGTTGGCCTGGGCCTGCTGCAGAATCCTCTCCATCTCAGCCCCGGCTTCATCCTCCAACTGCTCTTCCTCTGCAGCCTGAAACCACAGATCATTGTAAAATTGTAAATTGTAAAATGTGCACAGTCATATCTACATATATTATTTATATTGCAATATATTCTTAAATGTAGGTAGAAATGTAAAGTCTAAAAAATGTATCCTTCCATATATTAAAGTAGCCTTTAATATTCAGGATCGTTCAATATATTTAAAAACAACAAAACTGCAAAAGAAACAGTTATATGTATATCCATCTTATTTTATAATGTTCTATATTTTTATAAATTGCTATTTGTATTTGTTTTTCTCTGTTGTTTATTAATTAAAAAAAGTGTCAACCCAGCATAATATCAAATAAAACAGGAAATAAAAGTAAAAAAAATAAAAAATAAAGTCAAAAGCTAAGAAGATAATATTAAATGACATTCATCACTATAAAAGCCATACATAAGTTATGATTACAATTGTAATATCCCATTTAGTTATTATTATCACCTTGTTGCTGCCTGTGTCAGCAGTGTTTTCCTCGTCCTGTGGTGGAGGTGTGGTGTTTTCAGCAGCGCAGACTAAACCGGAGTTAATGACTTCCTCTCGGACATCCGGGATAGACTTCTTCTGTAGGGCTGGGCTGTCCTCCCGGCTGCGGGGGCTGACCTTGGCGACGGTGGGGGTGTCGCGGCCGTGTGTGGGTGTAAGCGGGGGGCTGGCGTGGTGGGACAGGGCCCCGGAGAGCTGGCAGGGCTGCAGGCTGACGGGGGTGCTGCGAGCACGCTGCACCAGCATGGGCGAGGAGGGGGTGAGCTCGGAATGCGCTGCTTGTGCTGGGGAACGTGGCTGAGGAGTGGGGGAGTCCTGGGACAAGCTGGGGGAGTCAGGCTCCTCGAGCTTCGTGGAGATCGGGTCAGTTTGAAGGTTGCCCTCTGTAGCACACCTGCACAACAAACAGTGACACAATACAGAATTAGTGCTTTCAGTAACATAAAAACCATTTTGGTTCCAGATAACTGCATATAATGATGTGTATGCTAGTCTAGCTAGTATGACAGGTCTCAAATAATTAGCAGTAAGCTAGAAAGCCGTAAAATTGAAAATAAAAAAAAAGTTCAAATATTTACGTGTTATACTGTTTCCTCAATATAAACCTACTTAGGCTTTAATATGTTAAAGTGGAATTAAATAGAATTTTCTAAATTTCAGCATTATTCATGCTGATGTGTAAATACAGTGATTCAGATGGGTTTAAACAGTGAACCTACACATTGTCTGCGTTGTCATATTTAATGTTGATAATGATCAAATAGTGGAGATCCTGAAAAATATGTTTTCTTTAGGGGCTATTTTGCTTTACAACGCCCTACATATACTACTTTTTAAAAAACATACATTTTAGGCTAAAACCATCTCAAAAAATATCATAAAGCAATGTCTCAGACATCAGGCAGCATACTCATAACCAATTCATGCAATACATTTCTGCAAGGGAGGCATTAAATGCCTTAAATTAATGCCTTAATTGAAATTAAATGCTTCCTATCACCACCACTGTAATCAATTCTGAAAGTTTCTCTGGTAACACTTTCTATGAATGTCACCTTTGTAAGCATCTATAAACACATTCGTAACATGTTATAATGCATTCATAAGGCATTATAAACAGCCTCGCTCTCCTTTGGCCATTTCTTTCAAAATCTCTTCAAAGGTGTTTTGGATGAGTCTCTTCTAATTTTTGTACAGAAATACCACCCCAAATGTTTATGAGGTCTCTGCAGCGTGAAATTATGATGAATGTCGAGTTAGATTGGCGTAAAAGCCACATGAATTCCGATCTGGCTGTTGAGAGGATTTACATTAAGATATGCAGAGCATATTTACAGTACAAACCTTGTCAGTGAACTACGAGGGCAAGAAAACAAACAAAAAAAAACAAAAACAAAATAATTGTTCATTAATCGTAATCGAGGTAAAATATTCAATTAATCGTGATATCGATTTGAGGTCATATCGCCCAGCACTAGTGCTTAGTATTTTATATTAGTATAAAACCATTTTGAAAAGCAAAATGTCCTCAACATTTTATGGGCAGTGTACCTCCTGAGGCTGCCCAGAGTTTCAGTCAGTGCTTTGACCCTCTTCAGCATGCTATCCATTTTGTGTGGCTCCTCCTTCAGGAAACGCACGGCCTCCACCTCCACCCGCAACACCGAGCGCATCTTCAGCTGCAGCTCTGGGAACTCCCCTGAGGGACACACATACACACACATGGGCATGACCGTTCAAGCAGACTGAACAAACTTGTTTCACCTCTCCTACCGTCAAATGCCAATTTTTATTGTGAAATCAAACCAGGCAAGGAAGTGAAAATTTGCCTCTACTTTATATATCTGGTTCATAGAAAGTTTACAATATTCAAATGACTGAACTGTCTGTACTAACAGTATCACTTTAAATCATGACGTGGGTCCTTTAAAGTGATACTGTTAGTACAGCTAACAATATCATTTTAAAGAGCCCATATCATGATATTTTCAAATAAGTTTCAAAACATATTGTGCACTCCCCAGCCCATACTTGGAAAATAAGCTACAAAAACAGCCTGTTTTCAAGTCACTGTTTTTGTGATGTCACAAAAACAAACACATATATCCACCTGCTCAGTCTGCAGTAGTTTGTTGTCCATTCACACTGAAGTTATAAGGAGTGATTCAGCCTTCACTGCTCTTAGAATACAGCTTAATACAGGGCATCCAATCAGAACAGAGTTCATTTGCATATATCAGACTTAAAGACACAGCAACAAAAACTGTTTGATTCTAAGGGATAATGGGAGGCTGGAAAATTGGAAATGAAAAACTGTGTTTGGTACATAAACCCACAGACCTGTCATATAATGAGCCCACTTTAGGAAATATTAGTAAGAAATGTTGGTAAACTCTTGTCCTAAGTCTATTGTCTCATCTTTTTTGGAGATATTCCCAACCTATAGACTGAAAGTGATAGTAAAGTGCCCAAAAGTAAAGTAAAAAGTATAGATTTTTATTCATACTTTTGTCCATTTTTATATATGTGTATCATCCAGGCGTCCTGCTGGGACTCCTCCAGCCAGTAGTTAGAGCTGGACAGCAAGAAGGGCTAATTAGGGCTGAGCAATGTCAGCTGTGAACACCTCACTTTAAGAGGCTCTGACATGCTGCTCTCTGCTCAGTCTTGAGTTCATGCCGCCATGCGCATGTTACTCTGACTCTGCTGGTAATTCAGCAAAGGTTCTCAAGTTCTCAAGTTCCAAGTGTTTCCTCTCTGGAGGTGCTCACCTGCATAAGTATTAAAAAAAAAGTTCTACTCTTGAGTCCTACTTAGTTTTGTCGTAGGGAACGTGGAGAACCACCTGGTGCATCACAATATGTCTATTTAGATAACAGCAGGCCATACAGTGTCAGACACTACATAAGCAAAGCTATTTGTTATTACTGAACTTGTTAGCTACATTAGCCATATAGCTTCAGTGTAAAACCATAGAAGCAAACTTCAGACATCAAACATGCGTTGGCTGATCTTCAACATTTAGGCTCCACAAAAAACTATGTAAACTTTACCTCTGACCAAGCTATTGCTTTAATCTGACCACTGTGGCTTTGTTTCTAAACAAATTGCGCTCTTTGTGTAATACTAAGGATGATATAACTTACCTTTCAGTGCAGCAAGGGCCTCCCCGACTTTCCTCAGATTCACCGCACCCTCCTCCACATCCTTCAAGGTGATTGGTCGCTGGGCTGTCACGGACATGGAGTCCACTTTTAGATTCTCCACGTGCTTTTCCAGCTCCCTGTGAAGTTAAAACAGAGTGGGTGGGTGAAGCTTGATTAAATGATCCAAGCTTCATCCACTGTTCGCGAAATGAGCAAGCTTTACAGAACATGGGCAAAAATAGCTTTCAACTTCATAAAAAACTGAAGCGGAAACTCAAAACAGGCCAATCAGCCAATCAATATGGCTAATGAATGTGGGATAACTAATGAAAATTCCAAAAAATAAAAATAAAAATATGTGCCCAGGTGCCTCAGCTCAGCAAGAAGCTGTAATAATAAGCTGTAATAATTAATAAATGGAAAATTTTAATAAGGAATTATAGTAGCAAAAGGTAAGTTGAGAGGTTTGTAAAACTGCCAACTGAACAGCCCATTTAAAATATAGCCTTTTTTCAAGTTAGAAGCAGTTGTTAACTTAGTGATTGCTAATGTTCACTAAGTTTGTGGCTTGGTCAGTTTGGCATTCATCCAGCTAAATTTTCCTCTATGCAAAACAGAGACCTAACTATGTAACTGAAAGTTCAAAGATCAATCACTGATCAGCTAATGTGGACATCTAAAAAGGTGATTAGTTGCTAGGAAATTAAATACTGAAGGAGCAACATACCAGAGTAGCCAGATATCGTCGCTGCTGGAACAAAACCTCGGATCTCTAAGTTAATGGGGAAAAAAAGTTATTTAGCAGCATTTCTATTGATCCATTCGTCATGACACAATGAAAAAGAACGTTGATAATTTCATATTGTGTAAGAAAAATTAAAGATAAAAAATGGAGATACGAGGTTTCGTCCCAACAGCAACCATATATTAGGTGGCTAAATAAAAACAATGTTATATAAGTATATTTTAAACATTTACTTTCAGAAATGCTGAGTAAAACTGCAGCAAAACAGTGGAGGTGGAGCTCAAACAGCACAGAGAGAGCAAGATAACAAACACAGTTACAGAGAAGTTCACACTTAGTTTTTCACACTGCTTTTCTCCTCTAATGATGTAGCACAATATATTTATCCTATCATCATCATATCATCAACATTCGTTTCCCCTCAGTATCAACATCTCATACTGATGCAGTATAATATATTTGTAGTATAAAATTAACGTAATTTAACTTAATTTTAATATTACAGAGATGCATTATAAACAGAATATATTTTTATCAACATGCTCATGATACTGATGTGGCTCATGAAACCTATAAAATATCTGAAAAAATAATGTGAATATTAAAAGTGTACTACGCTTTATTAGACTGAAGCAGTAGTCTTCATATTTACCTACATTTTATGTTGTTTTAAATATTTATAATGAGTTAAAATCTTGAACAGTTTGGTGAAATTTCTATATTAGTTTGGGTTTATTTGCAGAACCTTATAGTTCTAAAGTGAAAGAGAGCGAGTCCTAGAGAAGGTTATTTCCCAATGTCCTATGTGACTTTGTTAGGATATGAAAGGTGCTTGTACTACATGAGAGTGATCTTTAATAACTGCTCTGAATGCAGAAAAAATCCTATGATTCTAAGCCTATGATTTGTAGGTCTTCTGCAGGTCACTTTTCGAGCATGCATCTGCGTATTTTCGCCATCGTCAGAAAATCTCATGACTTTTTTCAAAATAAAAGCAGAATATTCTAAACATCTGTTAATGCAACTTAAAAAAACTTTTTACCTTTCAGTATCTCTTGGCCCATTCATTTATCACAAAGTGTAAAAGGCAACTGACGTTTTTAAATGGTGTAAAAAAAAATGTTTTATGACAGTGACTGTATGGAGTGCTTTTCACTGGATTTCATGTGTTCTGACCTGGCAGTTACTGTCACATACGCCACAGAGAACAGACAGAAACATGAAAGCAGTCGTGAGTGGGCTTTGGTTGATCTCTACAAGTGTCACATATTGAGTCTCTTGTTTTTCTCATTTCACGTACAATAAGCGTCATAGTCGCGTGCTTTCAACAGAAACTGTCACTAAGGATCTCAACTTCAGGAGCCATCGTCATCCCTGTTTCTGTTCACCAAGGCTGTTAGACAGATGCAAACTGATCCCATCCACATCCATATAGCATCAGGCCTTCACTGTAACAACATGAACTGACCTTAGCATAGCGCTGTATGAGTCCATCAAAAGTTCAACAAAACTTTGGGAACATGTGGCCGTTCAAAATGTCTCTGGTGCTAACTAGGCTATCAGTGTTTGCTAATATCCAAGAGGAAAGTAAAGAGAGGAAACTGCCACTGATTGCTGTCAGCTGTGAGTTGCTGTCAGTGAGTGTGTTTCCATGCACTTAATAGTTTGATAACTGCAGAAAATCTGATTTTGTCAGTAATCTGATCAACATGTTTACATGCATTTGAGCAATCAAATAAAGGGAAAACTCCAGGTCTACATGAGTCAGACAGTAATCAGATTTCTGTTTACAACTGGCCAATAAACTCACAGAAGAAGATGTGATGTAAACGTAATGTAAAATGCAAACTTCACGCCACTGCTTTTTTTTTAAACATTGCGCCACTTTACCTGAAACTATGAAAATACATCGTCTAGAAGATGAAGAATATTCAAATCCTTCCTTTCATCAAGCATGTGTTTGGTTTCAGCATCACTCCAAAAGTGTTTTGCTGCCATCTCACAGCAACGCTGCTCGCTTATTTCCAGTACCGCCATCTGTTTTTTGCACATGTGCAGATGGAGAAATCCGAAAGAAATCAGGGTAAGAGTTCACATGCACTGAGAAATCTGATTACTGAGCTAAAAACGAGCTCTCTTTATCAGACTTCTTTATCAGATTTCTAGACCTTACTTCAATCTAAGAAATCGGTGTGTGCTGTTTACATGACCATTTGAATAATCAGATAACTGCAGAAATCCAATTATGATCGTATTATTAAGTGCATGTAAACGCACTCAGTGCTGAGGTAGCGACTCAAAATTGATGGATTACAAGCTGAGGTTTAAAGACAGACATATGTCACTATGCTTAACAGCAACAAAAGTAATGAAGCAGGCTTGTCATGGTTATCCAGACTCTTCTAAAGGCTACTATGTCAAGCTTTTTTTTTATCCAAAAGATCATTTCTTCAATCTTCTTCTTTGTCGGTGACTAAAACCATTTCCGTTCACAGACTGCTGCTGCTCAAAGTCACTTTCCTTAAAATGAATATAGGTAGTTAGCTTAGTCAACCCCTTTAGGAAACACTGCTAGTCTAGTTACAAACCGAAAGGCATTACAGCTTCATGCCAAAATGAACATGGAATTTCACAGAACTGCCAATGAATCCATTCCTTTACACCTTCTGACACTCAGGTTTCTGGTCGCATCTCGGCATTTCTGGATGGCAGCCCACAGTCTGAAGCCGAATTCCAGCTGCTGTTCACCCCTGGAACTACAGGTCCTGACCATGATCTTGCCATGTCATTCGAGAACTTGACAGTCATTCCGTCTCAAGATGCAAGAAGCCTTGGCATGTTATCATACTCGACTCATACTGCAAACCTGAATCGGTCATGAAGGTTTCTCCTCCACAACATCCAGAGGACTCAACTCTTTCTCTATAATGAGGCCACCCAGGTGTTCAGTCTCTTGTCATCTCAAGGTTTGACTACTGTAGCTTACTCGTCTTCTCATGCAGGCCATCAAGCCCTTGTCACTCCACTGCTGCGTTCCTTTCACTGGCCACCTGTAGCTGCCCGCATCAGCTTGCCTGCAAAGCCAAAAATGGACCAGACCCCCCCTTCCTGATGCTGATCAAAACTCAATCCATACCTCAAGTCCTTTAAGCTTCAAGTAGAGCTCAGCTTGACCCGGGTTGACACATGGAAGAGAGACATCAAGACTCCTGTGTCCTGGCACCCAAGTGGTGGAATGAACCTCCACTGTCTTCAAACGCAGACTGAGCACCCACTTATCTAGCGCTTACTTTCTGTACTGTATCTTCTTTTCTAGGTATCAACCCTGTTTTTTTTTCTTTACAAGAACACAGTTAGCCAACAATTCATTCAGTTACTAGGTAGATTGCTAGCCTAGTTGGCTAATTTAGTTAACACTACTAGTAGTGGCTGGGTGATATGACCTCAAATCAATATCACGTTAATTGAATAGTTTACCTCGGTAACAATTAATAAAAGTTTTTTTTTGTTGTTGTTTTTTTTTCAGATAATGGGACGATTCTGGTCTACGTGAGTCAGGCAATAGTCAGATTTCTGCTTTGCAACCCGTTAACAAACTCACAGAATATGTTGTGACGTAAATGTATCGTAAAATTCAAATGTCATGCCATTGCTTCCTTTTTTTAATATCAAGTCACTTTACCGGAAAATATGAATATACATCATGTAGAAGATGAAGAACATTTAAATTATTCATTTTGTCAAGCACTCATTCAGTTTTAACATCACGCCAAAAGTGTTCTGTTGCCATCTCGCAGGTGCTGTGTTTAATTCTGCCTGCTGTTTCCAGGACAGTGCTCTGTTTTTGTACACGAGAAAAACGAAAGAAATCAGAGCAAGGGTACATGCGCACTGAAAAAGCTGAGTACTAAGCTAAAATCCAGCTCTTTTAAAGGGATTTCTAGAAATCTGATAAAGGCCTTAGAGCGATCTAAGAAATCAGAGTATGCTGTTCACATGACCACCTGAATAACCTGATAACTGCAGAAATCTGATAACACTTGTCTTGTTGGACTGCATGTAAAGACCTTTTAATGTGCAGTTTGGTCAATTTGGGTGTCTACAGTACTCCATTAGGGAGCAGTGCAGGTCAAACTGATGTCTGGTGGGCTGGAAGTCATACATGAAAGGGTTAAACTTTCCTCCTGCTGTGAAAGCCAAATATACATTTCTTCATGGCTTTTTCAGCAAGCTGAGATTTAGTGTGGTGTAACTGGGAAAGTCGCGGATAGCGAAACACTCTGAAACCTGTTTGACACGCTTGGAGAGTGTTTGCTGACAGTGTCAGGAGAGAGAGAGTTTTGGGTGTGTAGCACTGAAGGGGAAGATTTGGAGTGCGAGTGGCTAGAATAAGCACTAAAGCCAATATTCAGCGAGACATATTAAAAAAGGTTTTAGGTAACACTTTCTATGAATGTCACCTTTGTAAGCATCTATTAACACATTCATAACATGTTATAATGCATTCAAAGACATTATAAACATAGCTATAAATATTTATAAAAATGCATTATACGTTATAGCCATGTTTATTATGCATTATGGATTGTTAACATAATACACGATAAGTACTGATCATAACAAATTATAAGAGCTCATAAGTCGTATTTGTCCGCTGTAAGTAAAGTGAAGCGTACTGTACTAAAGCCTCCTCCAGTGTTAAGAGTGAGGCTTCAAGTTGAAGTATTTACTGAAGGATTTACTGAAACACTAAAACATACACAGTAAAGCACATTACAGGCTTCAAATGTCAGAGTTTAAACTAGAGCTGCCATCAGTGTTTTACCCAATGTGGGAAAGGTAATGTTCACCACCGTTAGCTTGGTATTTGTCTTTACTTTACACTCTCCAAGCTGGGACTGACTTCTTTGGCACTGACAGTATAACATTTTATTAACACTATTTATAATGCATTATATTAACAATTCATAATGTATAATAAACATGGCTATAAAGTGTAATTCAGTGTAATTCTTTTTATAAATATTTATAACCATGTTTATAATGCCTTATGAATACATTATAACATGTTATAAATGTGTTTATAGATGCTTACAAATGCGACATTCATAGAAAGTGTTACCAGGTTTTAATTATGCCACAAATTTCCATTCAATCTAACAGAGTAGAGTCAGCATATGTGGACTTCATTATAAAATTTAACATCAAAATGTAATGTTTTCAGTTTGTAAGGCAAACAAAGTCTAATTGGTTTAGATTTTTTTATTTTCAATCTCTTCCATAGAGCCCAGCTCAACACCTTCTCAACACTCATTCACTCCTTCTCACTCCAGATGAGACTGTCTTTGTTTAGTGCCCTTGTTTGGGGTGATTATGTACTCGTTGTTGCTACTGTTTTTGCTGTTGTTGGTGCTGTAATTGTATACTGTACCAATGCACTATAAAGCAACCCTGGTAATGAGAAAAGCTCAATATAAATAATAAAACATATTATTAGTAGTAGCAGCAACTGCACTTTCCCAGCAACAGTACATATTAAACAATACTGTTTAAGATTTTTTGTGTGGGGCAATTAAGTCATTGCTGTTGTTGTTACAGCTGTTGTTATGTATGCTGCCTTTGCAAAGTGGCCCTGGGTATGAAAAAAAGGTGGCAAATAAATTAAAATTATAATTATATAATTATTAAATTGTTTATTTATTTATTTATTTTTCTACTTTCCCTACAAACATAGATGAGTAAAGGCCAAAGTTTTCAATTATTCTACCTGCATATGAATCTAAGGCAGAAATCTCACATATGGATGTGCGGTGCATGAACGTGCTTGTCTGTGCACACTGAGATCATCTCTTGGTAGCGTCTGTGTGTGAGAAAGTGATAGCTGTTTCTCCTGATTTAGTTGGGGATCTAGAAGCCTCAGGGATGTCTGCAGGGCATTCTCAGGCACAGCAGCAAATACCACGTATTTGATTATCAAACACTTACAGCTTACAGTTGCACAATCGACCTCATGCGTCAGAAATACATAGGAAGGAGGATGACACTTTATATTAACTTAGTTTCTGTGAAAGAACTGTATTATTCAATAGTGACTAAGTATCCACTTACTTAGGGTTGCTGCACAACTTTTTAAATTAATTTATGATATATTTATATATTATTTTAAATTAATTCATTTTATTATTAATAACTTGTATTATCTTTTTCATAACCTCAACAACAATATTTGAAAAAATTTATATTTTCACCTCAAAACAACGCACACAAACTCAAATACGGCATGCAATAATATCTACTTTATTCAAAATGGTTGAAATCTAACATTTGATATTGAATATTTTGGGTTGAGAATTGGTTTAATAAAATCAATGTCTCTCATTAACCTGGTCTTTAGATGTCATATTAGAGTTTAATACCTCTAATAGTAAAAAAAGACATTTTCAAACATTTTAAATACCTTTTTAGGGGTTTGCAGGAATCCAGCTTAGTTGTACTTGTAAAGCAATATTCTGTATAAACCGTATTTGTGTACATACCTGAGGGCTGCGCAATATAGATATAAAATGCAATGTTCACAAAAGAGTTCTTGGATACTGAGATGGCAATAAAGTCAGATTAAAGTAGTATGTCTGCCTGGGTGTGCTAGTACAGATCCTTTTTGTGGCTGTGTAATTAAAGATAAATCTATCTAATCTCTCCTTTAACCAAAGTGTAAACGAAAAGAATAATTAAATACTAATAGCTAACATCACAATCGGAATATATGTTTTTGCCCACTACAAGGATGTTAAAAAAAGCCAGTACTGCCTAAACAGCTTTTTTTTTTACACTTTTGGCAAAGGTTCTATATTTAGTTCTAAATGCTTCTTTGACAATAGAAGAACCCTGTTTGGTGCTACATAGAATCAGTTTTAGAATTTTACAATTTTTTAGTGGTCCTATATTTAACCACTGCCTTTAGTAAAGAACCTGCCTTTAGTAATGTTTATAGGCCTACAATCATAACTAAATGTATATTTTTTCTATATAAGCCTAAAAAACGTGGCATAACAATTCACAAAATTCAGAATTTAATTCATTATGATACAATGGTGTCTCGATTTGATTCATTTTGACAAGGCAAAAATAAAGAGTGGCTAAAAATATGCCTTGCATTAGAATGTTAAAGCCTTCATTTTGAGTTTAATAACATTATGAAAGTACAATATCTGAAGCAACAGCTGTGCTTCTTAGTGTTCCAAACTAACACTCTAGCAATCATATGCTAGTTCTAGATAGATAAGATTTGTTGTGATATAATTTTGATAAAATATTATGTTGTATTATTACACCCCCCCCCCACAAAAAAAAATATATATATACATTTAATTCCTTAAAAAGCTCTAATGGTGATGCAGATTTGTTGTGACAGTCGCCATTACCGCTTCACACACAGCCATCATCTCTGAACCATTATTACAGGTTAGTTAGATAAGGATAGTGCTTGAACTGTGCATGTGTTTGTGCACTATAACTGGCTCTATAGCAGAGTGGTTAAGTCGCTTGTTCTGAGGTTTGAGGCCTGAGTAGCACACAGCTGCTCTGATTTTAGACATGGCTCCTAAAGCAATGTCCATCTAATTATGTCACACTCATGCTGTGCATGTGTAATGTCGTTTGATACATCAGTTCCACACTGAATTGCACGGCGCACTGAATTGTCAGTTACAAACTGTAATGTAACCATTGCGAGGTCAGGCAGTTATTGCCCTATATATCACTGAATTATTACAGTAAATCATAATCACATTTCTAAATAGATCAATCACAAACACCGACAAAAAACTGACTCAGCAGCTTTTTCTAAACTAGCCCAAGGAAAGATTTATAGACGGCCAGCTAACCTAATTTTTTAACATGTGATTTGAACTGTAAACTGTGCACTGTTTACAGTGCTCAATGGCCGCTGATGGGACGCACAGGAATGTGATTAATAAACATGCAGATCAGAAACAACTCAATGCTGATTATTAATTGGTTATAATTGAACACATTTCTGCAGCTGATTACTTTTCCAGATAACAGACAATCTCTCTCACTTACTAACTCCATTTAATCATTTCTGTCTGTCCACAGTCATAGTTTGGGAATCCATTCAGTGGTATACTTATGTTGTCAACTAAATCAGACAGCGCCAGTTATCTAGGGCCTCCAGGCAGTACACGTATTTGATCTATTCCATCTCCCAGCAACCCATCAGTCAAACGCTGTAAAACTGTGATTACCTGGATCAGGTGTGTTGGGGGCTGGAAAAGGAAAAAAATAAGGGCAGGCTGCAACGCTAGCCAACCATACACAATGAAATGCAATCACGTGCAATGCTAATCAAACGCTTGCAGTGCTAGCCAAACACATACAATGCAAATCTATCACATGCAAGGTTAATCAATCACTTGCAATATGCATTGGTATATGCATATGCCAATCGCATATGATGCAAGTCAATCACATACAACACTAATCAATTGTTTGCAATGCTAGACAAACATAAACAATGCCAGTAAAACATGCAATAAATTAATAGCTCGCCATGCCAGCCAGACTTGTATGATGCTCTGAATTTGCTGAATGTTCATTCAGGAACAGCTTTGTAAGCTTTAACACTTTGCTTGTAAAGATTTGAACTGTTTCTACTAACTAGTTTCTAAGATTTCACCAGCATTAGCCATTAAACTATTTCTTTCTAAACAAAGTACTGAAAAGGACTACTGGGTTTTCCTTGTGCTTTCTTGTTGGCATTTAGAGAGTAAATTGCGGAATTTATACAGTAACTTAATAGTAAAGAAGTATTTGTGTGCAATGTTGACCAATTATAAACAATGCTAGGTGTCTGTTAGCTCATATACAGTGTACAGAATTGGGCAGTTAGAATGTAGTCATGCTGCATGGTGTCATGGAGGAAACCTAGCAAGTGGGATTAGTAATGACTAAATTGGGAAAAAATCTGTAAAAATAGAGCAGGATGGGAGTCTTGAAGGACCGGATTGGGTCGCTCTGTACTACCTGTTTTGGGCTGTCTTACCCCAGCTGGAGCAGCACGGTTTCCTCCATGGCTAGGTATCTGTGTCTCTCCTCATCCACCTGGATCCTCTGTTTCTGCAGAGGATCTTCCAGCAGCTGCAGCCGCTCACACACTCTCTCCATCAGCTCCTCCTCCATCTGCTGCAGCATCAGCCGCATAGCATCCTGGTTCTGCAGCTGGAAAGCCACACCAAACTCATTAAACACAATGAAAACACTGCATTTTCTTACTGTAAAATGTGGGAAAGCGCTACACAAATCTGCACCTTACTAAAACAGGATTTTCTGACTCCAAGCACTGACACTTTCCTTAGCATCCTTAGACCTGGGTGTTGGGCACTCTGTTGTCAGAACTGTTAGCATTAGGGTCAGTCGCATCCCTCTTTCAGACTCTGGGCTGCTTTGTGGTTTCTGGCAGCTCTCAAACATAGCTATCTTCCATCCTCAAGAAAACTGTACGACATGAGCCGCTCAGTGCTGCTCACTGTATGTAACGCTAGACCATTTATTGGTGTCTCTCGATCGGTTAGTTATTTAATCAGCATTTTATTCTCTCTAACAAAACTCTTCAATTACCAACAACATTTACATTATCAGGCATGATATGTGTAGTTAGCACGACTGTAGCTGTCAGTAATACACTGATTTTGGAGTGTGTCTGTGCACCTGGCTCACAATCTCTGCTCTAGTTCATCCCAAATGTGTTTGATGGGGTTGGGCTTTGTGCAGGTCAGTCAAGTTCTTCCACACCAAACTCACCCAGCCATGCCGTTATGGACCTTGCTTTGTGCACTGATGCTCAGTCATGCTTGAACAGAAAAGGTTCTTCCCCCAAACTGTTCCAACAAAGTTGGAAGCATACAATTGTCCAAAATGTCTTGTTCTGCTGAAGCACTAAGATTTCCCTTTACTGGAACTAAGAGGTCTAGGCCAACTCCTTAAAAACAACCCCATATCATTATCCCTCCTCCACCAAACTGGCAGGTAATGTTCTCCTGGCATGCGCCAAACCCAGACTCGTCCATCAGACGCTCCACAGAATGTGTTTCCACTGCTCGAGAGTCCAGTGGCGGGATGCTTTACACCACTCAGTACGACCCATTCTACTGCCGGTGTTCGTCTATTGAGACTGCAAGGCTATGTGCTTAATTTGATCCACCTGCTGGTTATCACACCCGTTTGTTTTTTTAAGACAGTCAACCAATCTTTATGTAATTTTAGCATGCTCAATGGCAGGAGAAAAAAAACACAAGCCCTAAATTTAATCATATTAATCCAAGGATAATGGAGGGAGGGATGGTCATTTCACAACCTCTTGCATCTCCCCTCAAATGAAGCTATATATATTTATTATGTCCATTTTTGGTACATAAAACCATGTAAATATTTTAAGTGGACCTCAGGGAAAGACATAAAATGCAGAAAAAATGAGCCCCTTAAAATGCAAAAAGTAAAATGAATGATTATCAGTATCAGCATCAGCCACGGCAATGTGTTATCAGTTATCGTTATCAGCCCAGAAATTCCATATCCGTGCATCCTTATATATTTAAAAAACACGCATCATCATTATTAGCAAGAACTGCCACCAATATTTGCCTGAGTACATCTTTCTTTATTCCTTCTCATGAGTCCCAGTAACATTACATTTACTATGATACAGCAAATACTGATCCATCAGCATTGTTAATCTGTGAAGGCAGATACGTATATGGCAGTAAGACAGGCTTACCTGCATGTATCTGAGCTGGTGTAGTTGCTGTCTGAGGTTGGAGACGTTCTGGTGGAAGGTGGTCAGGCTGGAACTGATGACCGGCTCTGTGGCTGGAGGAGGTGCTGACCCTGCCGGAGGGTCAGTCTGAAAAGCAGGACTTTTGCACACGGCCACGGGGGACACTCCTGTGGAGCAGTCACGCACTTAATTCCTTATATCAGTGGAGTACTCATGTATGCTGAAGTCAATTAGGAATACTTCAAGGAAGTACAATGTATTATTGCTTGTATTCATTCATACTCTTGTACATGAATAGAAGGAATACCAACCACCACTGTTTACGCTGTGAGCAGGAGATGCCGAGAGGGATTTCTCACTGAAATCAGAGATGTAGAAATCAGTTACATATAAAGCTTTTGTAGAAGCTTTTATCACATGTTTAAAGGGAATTTCCACTTATTTCTAATAACACTTGTTGAGATTTAAACAAAGTCATTCAAAGCAGTTTGATGTGAAACTCGCCTTTTCTAGAGAAACTTGCTCACAGTGGTGGTGATAGGAAGCAGGCCTTAGTGCCTCTAAAAGCTCCCTCACAGAAAGTTATTAGATGAAAGGTTTGATGCCTGAAATATAATCTTATTATAGTTTTAAGGTCAGATTTTGGCCTAAACCTTTAGTACCATTTTAGCATTAACAACATTACATATATAACACTCAAAGACAAGTGTGGTTCACTGGTCATTTTAGATAGTAAATAAAACAGCCATGTCTGCGGTGTGACCCCTGGTTCCTATCACCAGCACTGTGAAGAAATTTGAGAGGGTAAGTTTCTCAGATTGACTTTGTCTACATCTCAACTGTGCAGAAAAATGTGAAAAATTGTTGGCATTAAACTATATAATAAACAAATAATACATTTATAAACTGCAATGCTGTGTGAAAAGTCTCAATACTGGACTGCTGAAGTACAAGCCTTTCATGCAGTTCCATTCGTTTCAATAACAATGTTAGCAACAAAATCTAAAGGTCTTTTTCAGTCAAAATAAGATGTTATATAGACAACCTATTCTTATGCTTGTCATAGTGAATATGATTAATGCATCTTGCTGAAGCTTACCTGGCAGTGTCTTTGACACCACTGGTATTTGTCCCCTTCAGAAGCGCATGCTGAACAAGACCAGTCAGACTAGCTATCTGCTGCTCCATAGCCTTCATCCGCTCGCTGAGGAACACAAACAACACGACTCATTTGGCACTGCAAGTTCTATCACTTAAAGGAATAGCTTGACGAAAAATCAAATTCACACGATTTCACCGTTAGCACAAAGGTACTCGATCAGCCAGTGTTCTGAGTTTACTTCTTCTAATATAGATAACAAGACAGAAAACATGGAAGCATTTTAATGGGGGTTCACACTGAGCCTTCTGAACTCTCCCACTTGCTCAGCAAAAAGAGTGTCACATAATAATAGTTGATTCTACAGTTAATCACAATACCTTTTACAGCGAACGCTCACTGTCTACTGTGTACGTGCAAACTGTGTGACCCTGATGGTTAACTTGAAGGTTTGGAATGTCTTTGCTGTGCTACAAAGTAAAGGAGTCGACCATCTCCTTCTTTCATTTGTGTAGAAAATTTATCTCTCTTGCTTCAAGTGAAGACCAGCCAGTTGATAACGCGACGGGAGGCTGCTATGGCCTTGAGGCTGCAGGTTAGCCCACTATTAAGACAGCGGATGTGAGCAGCTCAGTGTTTTGACCATAAACGTATTTCCTTCCTTCTCTTTTATTGTGCTTATACATTAACACTCTTCTTTATTCCTATCACAATTAGGCATAAGTAAGTAATGGTTTGTAACCACGGTGCTCTTTTGACCAATGAAATGGACCAACGCCCTTTTTGGGGACTATTTACCCTTCTGTAATCCTAGTTTCAGGTGGAAACTGATTTCTTGTGATTAAATAGAAGCTGCAACAACACAGGTTAATCAACTGTGCTAGCTAGCTATCATTTCAAGATGTACAAGCAGAAAGTTCTGGGCACTTAAGTTGCCCTTTTAGAAGTGTGACCTACTATTAACTAGCAAGCATAGCACTGCTGGCAAAAACAAGCTAAACTAAAAAGGCTGCTTTTTGTTTATGTCACAATAATTTGGATCTGTGAAATACAGTTCAGGAGAGTAATGGGAGGTGTGGCCAAATATTATATCACTGTATAAGAAAAATTTGTGTATGTCATGGTGTCTCTTTTTTAAAATAAAAACCATTTTAGATGCTTGAGTAAACCTAGTTTTGTAGGCTTAGTTTTAACTGGTTTAGTCGTCCCTTCACTTTTTAATTACTTTTTAATTAATTTTAATTTTTAAGAAGCAAAGTAAATGTGAAATATTTTAGTCCAACCAAAAGTGAACAAACCTATTTCAATACTTTCTAAAACTAGCCCCAGCAAAAATGGTGCTAAATATTGTTTCGGTGCTTTCCTCAAGGCTGAAGGTGGCTTCGTACTCACCAGCTTTTTGTTCAAGCTGTCCATTCCACCTTAAAGGGAGCAGCTTTAAGGTTTTAACTGCTGCATCATTTAAGGTGGAACAGGAAATTTGAATATGAAGCCAACTTCAGCTTTGTCTAGTTTCTCAAGTCATTTGTCTCACATGTACTGTTCCATACATTTGCTGCTCCAACCGTCAAGGCGCTGCTACATTTCAGAAGATATTACAGTCGCTCACACTTCCAGCAGGTCTACAGCTTGTTGCACATACAAACCCAGAGAGAGTTGTCTGATGCAGCTGAGCAGGTCATGTGGCTCATTTTATGTGTAAGTAAGACCAGCCATTAGTTTACGTCCAAAAAGTGGACAAAAATGGACAGACATAACGGACTGGACAGTATTCCTGCATTTTCATTTTCACTTGAAACATGATATAAACATCCCTGGCTCAGTCTTTCAGCCAAACGGGATAACATTTCGCTTGATTTGCACTGCTTGTGTATCGCATTATCTGTGGCATACCGATATACAGTTATGACAAAAGTCATACATGAGGTCAGTTTACTACCCACCACTAGTTCAGTGTACTACGTGAAAGCAGATGCCCCACCTTTCTTTTGATCTAATAGGTGAGCACATGAGCTCAAGACATAGTCTACTTGGCTGCTTTTAGCTGAACCTTTCCTCACTGCGGGCACATGGAGCACTAGGAGCACCCCGAGTGCAAAAACAGCATGCAAAATAATAACAATAGAAAACAATAGAAAAAGAGACCCTTGGTCCATAAAAAAACAAAAAAAAAAACTACAATGTGAATCGTCACATTTGCCTCAAACCAGATTGAGATAAGCCATCTCAAAAAACTTGCTTATGTCATTCTTGACGATGTCGACAACTTCGTCAAATTTTCACTGAATTTTTAAAAATAAAGGGTGCTAACAACACTAACAGCCCCCCTCGCTACCGCTCTGACATTGCTATAAAAATATTCAGGCTCAAGAAAACTAGCAGTAGCAGGGCAATATTATCTTTGTTGTGTTCTCAAAGGCAGAATGTTTGAGGTTTAGCTTGATGTGGGGGCCATCAACAGCAGATATTAGCATTGGCTTCTGTTCTGAGGAATCGTGAACCCACCTCATCTCGTTCATACTGTTACAAATGGCCCAGAGATGATAGCATTCGCATTACCACAATGTTATCATTAAATTAGCAACATAAACAGTGGAGGCGCGCAGCCATGAAGAGTATGAAGAAGATGTAAAGAGGAGGTTTCATTATTGCTTAATCAAAGGTTTTTTTCACATTTAATTCCAGACGGTTGGACCACCCAAGGCTCAGAAGTGCAGCTGGGGTTGTTTAAATGGTTGTGAGAACTGAAAAAAATACTCCGTATATGTGAGGTTAAACAGAGTGGTGGAATACCGTTTTGTTGGCCAGCTTTCGCCAATGACCAAATAGTTCTAAGGAGCTTTGGTCTTGCCTGGCTTCAAATGCAATGCGAGGCTCAGCACTACATCTAATCTATCTTAAATGACCTTTCATACAAATAAAACAAGCTTAATCTGAAACTAATAACACATTTTAAATGGAATAGTGCACAACAAATGATCAGAAGATCGAACTGGATTTTGCCAACATTCTTTTGTCCAACCACATAACAGCAAAGGAACACATTTGTATTCGCTGTCGTGTAGTTTTTTAAGTACAGGGGAGGGGCAACCATTTTCAAATATGCCATTCATTTTTCCCATAGAGAATAAACAGTCAGACCCAGAATTCCCGTCCAGGGGTCTGTGTAATGGACATGTGGGGGGGGGGGTGCATGGCACAGCACAGGCAAAACATTTTTTATGTAGTAAAACACATTCAAGAAGAATGTGCTTTTGGTCTTGTGCTCTCATAGCAACACCATGTGTGATCTACTGGACGGATATTTCCAAAGACAGAGTTCGGTGCCCCCGTCCACTCAAAATGGCCATTAAGTTGAATTTTTCAGCGTCAGGAAAAAAGGAGAAAACATATTTAACAGAAACGTACACAGAAGCCTAAACAACTAAATATAATATCAAAATTCTCAGTATTCAGAGTGTGATTTGCCTTCCATTCTTTTTGCGAGACTTGCTTTCAGTTTTTCAAAGAAATCTGCAGCCACACCTTCAAAGTTCAGTCTTAGAAGTTGGTTTAGATTTTTGTTTCTCCAGTCCAACTTACCCCACTCTCAATTATGTTGAGGTCTACATTCAGAAGTGGTCGGTCAACTGTTCTGCACACCAGCAGCTTCCTTGTTTGATTTGCACATTTTTTTTTATTAAAAGCTTTAAATAATGTTTATCTGACGGTGACAGTTTTAGTCTACTAGGTCTTGCACGACTGTCATTTTTTTTAACTATACTTTTGGAAGTATAACTATAGTTTTAACTATACTTCTGTTTTTTTCACTTATTTTTAGTTTTCCATCTCATATCTAATCTTCTAAGAAATATAGCCTGAAAAATTAGTAACTTGTATTTACTGGCTGTTTTGACTGGAAAGTAATTTATTAATTAAAAAATGAATGGTGGTTTCTTATTTTTGCACAACACTAATTAAGTCAGAGAATTTACACCAAATTATTTCATTTACGTTCTTCGTGACTTAAAATAGAGCCTTGTAAGCATGTAAACAGCTCTCAGTGAGATATAAGCAGTTAAAGTACAGCCTCCACATGGCAGGGTTAGTTTTAACATGGTGTTATAACAAAGTTTCCCCAATTAAGCAATAAAGGTTAATTAAAATTGTTCATTTTCAAAAACCTTTTATGCACATTTCATCAAAATCATACTATAGATGATATATATATAACCAGGTATTTCACTTCTATCATGCTGACTTTTGCTGTTCTTCTCAGATTTATTTTATTGCATATATCATCATGTATTAAGCTGGAAAACTCATTTGGTATAAACAATATATAAATGTACTGAATTAATTGTGTCTCTATAAATGTACCAGACTTTTCTACAACAAACCCATCAGTCTGTTGTATTGAACCTCATCTATGAGGTCAAGACTGTAACATTTACACTAACAGTACTATTGACTGAACTGCTCACAAACTGTAGCTGCTCGAAATAAGGTTTATGTTGTCATTTGTAGCAGTGATGTGTAAATGTGTAAAATGTTAGTTCAATATTATTTATCTTAATAATAATCTCAATCTTTAACTGAGTACTCTTAACAGCCCTACAAGTGAAATCCATGAGGCGCTTTGCATCTAAAAAATGAATAAAATAAGTGTATTTTATCTCTCACCTCTGAGGATCTGCTGTTATTAGCCCTTGAAATGGCCTTTCTCCATGACCGGGTGGCAGGTCCGCAAAAACGGGGGAGCCCATGTTGCCTCTGACCCTGCCCACTGCCTCCATAGTGCCGTTACTGTCCTTCCGAAACGATCTCCGAACAGACGAGGCCCTCTCTACTGCTTGGGTCAGCATGTGGGCATTCTGCCCAGGGTGGATGTCAATCATCCGGACCTCACCCACTCTATGAGGGGAAGGAGGCGGGGTTTTGGACCCGAGTGGAACGTGCTGGTTTTCAGAATATTTGCGTGATTTCTGCCTGTAGAGGGAGTGATGGGGTGCGTCAGGGACCTCTGAATATCGATGCTGGAGGAAAACTGCCCCGTCTGGGACATCCTGGGACGAGCTCAGGCTCAGGCGGGCGTCAGCCGGGCTGTATGGGTTTGGGCCAAGGTCTTCGTCTGGCTTAACGTCTCGCCGCTCCAGGATGGCGCTGGAGCAAGGTGTGATGGAGCGGGCCGGTGGGGCACTGGACAGGCGCTCACGGGGCAGGGTGGCACTGCCCACTGATCGGGAGCCGTAGGGCAGTCTGGAGGGCGAGGAGGGCATGGAGCGAGCGGCTGGCGGGGACATGGATCCCTGCACGGTGCGGATGGGGCTGTGTGGGGCCGGCAGGGTGTGGACTAGGCTCTGTCCACTCGCAGGCTGTCTATTGCCATATAGCCTCTCGCGGGAAATCTGAAAATAGAGGAAAAATCTTTAAATATGCCACTCAAAAACACAACAAAAATTTTGATAAATGCTTATTTCATATTTACAGAAACAGTTTACAGCGAAAATATTAAGTTTAGCACTTTATGGCATACTGTTGATCACTCTATCTTACTAAACAGATTGATCAGTATTGGGGTTTTGGATCACTCTTTGGCCTGGTCCTTAAATTACCTCTCTCATAGGGTTTTGTCTTTCTCACCCTCTTCCTGTTACTAGAGGAGTTCCCCAGGGCTTAATATTAGGACCTGCTCATTTTTCTATATTTATTAATAATATTCCTCATGCTGTTCGTAATTCACTTATTTACTTATGACGCAGTCTTGTATACCACCTGTCCTTCTCCTGCATCAGTAGTAACAATACTCCAGGACAGTTTCTCCCAAATTCAACAGACTTTCAATAACCTCCATAGTACTTAGGTATCTAGTTAGACAGTACATTTCATTTTCTCATCACATCTCTAAGCTGCAATCAAAGGTTAGGGCAAAAATTTTTTATATAGAAATCGCTCTTCATTCACCCCGGAGGCCAAACTCATGCTTATTCAAATGACTATGTTTGATTATGGTGACATAATTTATAGATTTGGCTATATGCTCTTTATTCATTTGTTAATTCACCTTCTTGGACAACACGCCGTAAAATCCACTGGATTATTCTCATCTATAGAACTCTGTTTGGACTTTCCGCCCCTTATTTATGTGAGCTACTGCAACCAGAATCTGCTACATGTAACACCAGGTCCTCTATTTATATCAAAAGAAAAAATTCAAAATCCAGCTGTTCTGTTATCAAAAAAAAATAAAAATAAATAAATAAATAAATAAGAGTCAAAACGTACAGACTAAATGGACACTTTAAGCTGGCTGCTACTTCTGTTTATAGCTATGTGACACTTTTATCCACCTATGTGGATAATAATAACCACATAAGCAAGAGCTTACTTATCAACTCAGCATGGTCTGAAGCAAACATGTTATAACCATGTGATTACAATGCTATAGAGTAGAGTACAAGTTTCCATTATTTGTTCACTACATTAGCCTCATTGCTTCAGCACAAAACTAAAGAAGCAAATTTCTGACATGTTTAAGTTGACTGACTATATTCAGAGTAAGAGGGAAAACTGTATTCATTTAATTTTTAAAAATTACGCAATATCAGTTTGAAATCAGCTCTTTCAAAGTTAGATATTTAAAATTAACATTGATTAACATTAGCAGTTGTACAAAGCAAAATCTGGAACAGTGACTTTATAGCAGTAGTTCTGACTGAATGTGTCTGTACTCATTTGCATTCCTTTACTTCATTCACTGGTGCGAGATTCCCTGATAACTGGGAAAGTGTTTACAAGCAACCTCTTCAATGGAGAAACGAATGCGTTTATGGGAAAGAACAAGCATCAACAGCTCCTTTTTTCTGCCCTTAAAAAGGAATTTCCTTTTGAAAAGAGTCTAACCTTTTCACAGGTGTACGGTGTGATATAACAGATAAAAGGATGGCATTATTTGTGTCTGTCGCATGAAAAAACTCCCTATTCATATTAATAACTAGTTTTGAAAGGAGGAAACTGAAGACAGAATCTTGTGTCTGTGTTGGTGTGATTAAGGTTCGAGAATAATGGCAGACTAAGACTTAAACAAAGGGCTGAATGTGGCATCAACAATAGCCCTGCCTGGACCTGCCTTTGTGCAGTGGCCAGGCTTAAGCATGCAGGAATAAAGCAGGGAGGCTGTAGGTGAATTAACCCATGTCAAACAGAGTCTATATATCATCATCGTCACTATTAGCACAACAGCAGGAAGGACGCTCAATTAAATCTGTCAGCTCACTCTAAAGTGCCTTAGATCTACACTGTCCATGCATATCAAATGCTCAATAAGAAACATGTCAAGATAGCTCTGAAACTAGACAGTTAAAGTAGAGCAAATGGACAAAAATATAGCTGTTACTATTGTTTTAGCTTTTTTTGTCTATTTAAACCACTATATTGCCTGACAATCCTAATCTACAGTGTTAATTTTAAATTCATCAATTAAACAATTATGTTACATTCCTCTTTTGTGGCCTAACCTGGCTGTTGTGTTGATTCCCAATTAAATAGAGTAAAATAAATGTATAGTCATCTATTGGCTGAAGCCTTACTTTAGCAGATCTGAAGCTCATACATCTCAGATCTCTCAGACAGTGACCATTTAAAACAATACTTTGTCCAAAAATACTAACTTTACTAACAAGCTAGCCTGGAATAAATAGCATCATGCAGATTAGATCCCAAAAGCTTCTGCTATCTTTCATTTTTGGCATTTCTAGATGTTTTTATCAGTAGTATTTCTAGATTTCTAGATTTTTAAGATACAGACTTCAAGCCCAAAAAAGTTGAGACAGTATGTAAAAAAGCAAATGCAAATAAATACACAAAGCAATGATTTGCAAATCCATGTTGCCATATATTACCTGTAATACAAAGACAAGATATTTAATACTTTACTTTATCAACCGAGCTATTTTTTTTCCTGTAAATTTTGTAAATGTTTATTCTCAAAGTACTAAAAAGGCACAACTCTCACTCCTTATAGAAACTCTTAATTTACGTAATATGTTAAAACTGTCATGACAGCCGATGTGGCCTTCGTCAGATGAAAGTAAAAAAAAAAAAATTTACATATTTTCATATGCGCACATGCCTCAAACACGTTCCAAAAATGCAGGGGAAATTGAAGACTAAGAACATTGTGAAATGTTAAAATAAAATCTAAAACAAGCGATGAACCATGCCTGGGCCTAAAAGGAGCATCCACAAAAGACCTATTCCTTTATGATTAAGGATGAGTCGAGGCTCACCAGACAACAGTCCTCAGTGGGCAAATGGGATTTTAGGTATTTGACTCTCTACAGTGCATATTATCATTAAAAGATTCAGGGATGGGCTCCCGAGTGGCGCAACCGTCTAAGCGTTGGCCCTTTCATCAGGAGATCGCGAGTTCGATCCCTGGTGATGCTACAGTCGTCCGTAGCCGGGAGTCCGAGAGAGCACAATTGGCCTCGCTCTCTCTGGATGGGTAGGATGGCCCCTCCTTCTCCCCCATCACTCAGCGCGATGCTAGTCAGCGCAGGCGTCTGTTAGCTGACGTAACAGATCTGGCGGTTGGCGCTTTCCTCCGAGCGCGTTCGGCTGTCCAGTGACGTTGCATGAGCGGCAGTTCGAAAAGATGCGGTGGTTGGCTTCACAGGTCTCGGAGGAAGCCTGTGTTAGCCTTCACCCTCCTAGCGTTGATAGCATAGTGTGATTGGGGGAGTCCTAACTAGCGGGTGGAATTGGAGACGACTAAATTGGGGAGAAAAATCGGGTAAAAATAGATTCAGGGAATCCAGAGAAATCTTGGTGCGTGATAGACAAGGCTGAAAACCACATCTGAATGCCTGTGACTTTCGGTGCCTCAGACAGCACAGATATAACAACCACCATACTTCTGTGACAGATATCACCACACGCGCTCAGGAATACTTTGACAAACTGTCATCAATGAACTCTGTTGCCGCATCCACAAATGCAAGTTAAGACCGTATTATACACAGTGGAAGTCATATGTCAACAACGTCCAAAAACACCGCCGACTTCTCTGAGTTTGAGTTCATCTGAAATGGACTGATGCACAGTGGAAACATGTATTGTAGTCTGACGAGTCAACCTTTCAGACTGTTTATGGAAAAAATGGACGCTGTGGTCCCCGGGCCAAAGAAGAAAAACACCATCCAGACTGTTACCAGCGTAAAGTTTAAAATCCAGTGTCTGTCACAGTATGGAGGTGTATTGGTACTCATGGCAGGGGTAACTTACTGAAAGAAATACTTCAGTATGACAATGCCAAGCCACAATCTGCACGTTATAACAGCATGACTGTGTAATCAGAGAGTGCAGGTGCCAGACTAGCCTGTCTGCAGTCCAGACCTGTCTCCCCTTGAAAAAGTACAAAATTCAACAACGAAGGCCTCATATAGTTGTGCAGCTGAAGATATGATGGAAGAATGGCAGAAATTCCCCTTTTAAGACCGGATCAACTGGTGTCTTCAGTCCACAGACTATTATTAAGTGTTGTTAAAAAAATAAAGGTAAAACATCAAATATTGTTTTTCAATTCAACTGAATCCAGGCGTTAAATAATCACTGCTTTGTGTTTTTAGTAACATTTCGCATACTGTCCCACCTTTTCTGGAATTGAGGTTTGTAGTTTCTGAAGGCTGGGGGTGGGAGTGGGAGTGATTCAGCACACACAAGACTTCTTCAGCAGGATTACCCGACCTCCTCAGGGGAGGCGTGTTTGAACAGGTGCAGTACACATTAGCTTAAAAACTCCCAGCAAAATACTGTAGTATGTCCCCTTTCTAGGAGTGCATTAGGCATTCTGTCAGAACACGTTCATTTTCTTATGAGTGAACCAGAAACACATAAACACGTGCTTCGTGCAAATGAAACACAATGAAATCGTGACAACAACAGCATACAGCAGGAGAGCTAAGGCTGCTATGAATATAGCCTAGCCGTTTAGCACACTCACTAAACACAGGAACAAGCTTATTGCCTATAAACTGACTTTATACTGTAAACGCCCCATCAAATCTTTTAAGAGACATAACCCACAAAAGACGGGCAAACACACCATAAAACACAAAAGCTACAGACAATGGGTCCTTTAATAGCCTAGTGAACAGGTGTGTTATACTAGCGAGCGTGTAAGCACATGTTTGCCTTCTCACACATTCACATGTCCTGATTGGCAGCTGCTTTTGTTGATCATGTCCCTATCTGCGCACTGATCTCGCTCTTGCTTTGGGAATGTAAATGGTTTAGCGGTACATGCGGCCTGACTCTGCTGTTTTTTTGTGGAGAAGACGGGCGTGTTACATGGTTGACACTAGGCTGACGGGTGATGACAACACGCTGTACAATGGTTTATGTCTTT